ATATGTGTGTGTGTGTGTGTGTGTGTGAGTGACTGTTTGTGTGTGACTGTGTGTGTGTGTGTGTGAGTGACTGTTTGTGTGTGACTGTGTGTATATGTGTGTGTGTGTGTGTGTGTGTGAGTGACTGTTTGTGTGTGACTGTGTGTGTGTATGCGTTCTTCATGCAGATTAACTTAACGTTTAGTTGGATGTATGATTTACCAATAACCTAATGGTTCTTTTTCCTGTCAGAGTATTTGGCGATAATGTCACTAGCTAAGTCTGGGATTATGACAGAGCAGAAGTAATGCATTAAAAAGTGTGTTTAGCAGAATTTTATACAAAATGAACATGTTCCTGATGATATTTAGCACGATTAGCGTTAAAAACACACCTGAATTTAAATACTGAATGGTCAAATTTTCCATTAATGTCAATTTATGCCTGTTTTCACAGAAATACAAGAAGCCCAAATTCATCCAGTGCTTTGTGTTCAGTGGGACGGGGGACGTCCTGACTGGGGACTCGGAGGGGAATATTCTGACATGGGGCAAGTCTGCCGCAGACATCAAGACGTTGGGAAAAGGGGCCAAAGGTAAGAGAGCCGACTGGGCTCCAGATAAGCCCGATCGCAGCGGATAATGCTGCTGGCTTGGTGGCCACCCACCGACTGTGGAGCGATGGCTGCGAGTGTTATGTCGCTCCACCAGATGGCGCTTAACTTGCTGACATGCGTCCGATGTGTGGCATTGAAAGGAAGGACAGCTGGCGGGGCAGCGAATCAGACGAGCGTGTGTCTGATTCCCGGGCTGGGAGGCGGCCAGCCGTGGGCAGGGAGCTCTGTGTGCTGAAAGTTAAATTTTCATTCCAGCGTTTTAGCAGTTTAACAAGCTACTTTAAGGGAAAAAACCTGTTTGCAGATAAATGTGAATGTGATTATCCCTCACCAAAAAAGATAAGCATGTTTATTTTCTTTAAAGATTGTTTCATGTATAGATGCAGATATTTATAAGCTAAAAACTAAGAATGATTGTCTTGGTTGATATTTATTTTTATTTTATGAACTATGAATCCTAAGTATCTGTCTGTTTTCACTGTATTGTCTTGCAGAAACATATCAGATCATGAGGCAGACGCGAGCTCACGAAGGCAGCGTCTTTACCCTCTGCGTCCTGCAGGGCGGCGGCATTCTCAGCGGTGGGGGGAAAGACAGGAGGGTCATCCGCTGGAGCGTGGACCTCGCGCCTGAGAGAGAGTGCGAGGTCAGGGTCTCCATGCATGTGCCCACTGTGCTCTGTGATGTCATGCTGTGTCCATGGAAACCAAAGCCTAACAACCCCTGATGTGGCAGATCCCAGAGAAATTTGGGGCAGTGCGTACCATCGCAGACGTGGATGGAGAGGAGCTGTTAGTGGGCACGACCCGGAACGCTATCCTGAGAGGCACGTTGTCGGACGGCTTTGTGGCCATTGTACAGGTACGACACAGTTAAATTATGTTTCCGAGACCCGTTTGTTGTTGTGTGTGAGATGAGACCACCAGTGACCTAAAGTCAGGCTTCCTCATCATATGTTACAGTGCGGGGATCCCAAACTCACTCAGTCAGTTTGTTGTGTGTGAGATGAGACCGCCAGTGACCTAAAGTCAGGCTTCCTCATTATATGTTACAGTGCGGGGATCCCAAACTCACTCAGTCAGTTTGTTGTGTGTGAGATGAGACCGCCAGTGACCTAAAGTCAGGATTTCCAGAATACAAAACGATGTAATGTCATTCCACTGATCTACGTCGGGCCTCTTCTGCTCGACAAATGACCCAGAGTTTATCATTGATATTCGACAATAAATATATCAGTTATAGATACTGCTGCACAGCTAAGATGTGTAGCTGCAGATTAACGCCTTTCTATACTCATGACCTCATTGTGGTGTCGGATGCGAATGGAGGTTCCGCTCGCTGTGAATGGGTAGCGGGGAAGCCCTCTGACTGAGCGTGTCTTTGGCTGCCAGGGTCACGTGGATGAGCTCTGGGGGCTGGCCACCCACCCATCCAGCAACCAGTTCCTGACCTGCGGACACGACCGGCAGGTGTGTCTTTGGAACGGGGAGGAGCACACGCTGGACTGGTGCACCACACTGGAGGTCAGGCCCCCCAGTGCCCTCACTCGCTCTACATCCACCCCCTGCCCCGATTCACCCCCTAATCCGTCGCCCCTGTGTCTTTACAGGAGTTGGGCCTGTGTGCCGATTTCTGCCCCACTGGTGGTGTGGTCTCAGTGGGCCTCAATACGGGCAGGTTGGTCACTCCCTACGCGCCTCACTCTGCGTGCAGTGGGTCTCACTCTGCGTGGAGTGGGTCTCACTCTGCGTGCAGTGGTGCATTCATGCATGCCCTTCAACACTTAAATGGCCCATAGCGTGTTCTTCCTGCAGCTGTAACCGGCGTTAATCAGCTTCACGGTTCTTTAATTCCCTGTTAAACGACAATGAGATGTTGTGGCTTTCCATCCCACAACCTTCCTGATAAACGCAGATTTCGAAGCCAGTAGATGATAACTGGCTGGCCGCCAGTCAGATGCCTGTGCAGAAGCATGTCTAAAGGAGAGCGAGTGAATGCTGAATGTCAGGGCTAAGGAGGCACTGCTGCCCCATGACAGGTGGGTGGTCCTGGACCTGCAGACCAGGGAGTCGGTATGGGAGTACACCGACGGCAACGAGCAGCTTTCTGTCATGAGGTACTCGCCAGGTGAGTGGGGGGGGGGCCTCCTGTCAAGTTCACATCGCCCCAGTGTCTCGTTGCACATCCTTCTGCAGCTGTTGATACGCTCACTGCTTTTATAGTGTTATTTTGTCCTTTTCTCCCTCTGTATTATACCTCGTCTTACATATTTCCTTCTGAGCATGATGCTGGAAGCAGGTGGGAAAAGCATTTCACTGCACAGATGCAGAGTTTCTGTGTTTGTGACAGACAAAACTTGAAAAGTGCGCGATCATAATAATTCTGGAGTGAATTATGGAGTGACACCGTCGTGTCTGCTCCCTGTTTCAGACGGAAGCTTCCTGGCTGTGGGTTCCCATGACAACTTCATCTACATCTACAGTGTCACAGACAGCGGTCGTCGCTATACTCGCTTTGGAAAATGCACAGTGAGCTTAGCGTTTCGGGACATGGGTGTTACTGCGTCTCAGGAATCAGTATGTTATGTGTTCGCTGCCACATCTTCTGCCTGCTTGCGTTTCCAGGGTCATTCCAGCTTCATCACTCACCTCGACTGGTCTAAAGACGGAAAATACATCATGTCCAACTCGGGCGACTATGAGATACTTTACTGTGAGTCTGTGCAGCCGTGTGCGCGACCGTGAGCGCAGCCGTGTGTCTGCATCTCTGTGGGCCGGGTCGAGCAAATGCTCCTGAAAAGATACCATCTTTGTGAAAAACGACAAGACAAGACCTGCTATAATCATTTATTTTTAAGAGCAAACACAGATAGCTTGTTTTTCTTAATCGGTTTATCTAGCTTCGGGTTTTTTTTGTCCTGCTGTTGTAAGTAATTATTTCTCAGGCAATGCAGACTTTTGCATGACAGTCTATCGTGAGTGCAGGCCAGGGTCCTACCGACCTCTGTGTTTGTGGCCCAGGGGACGTGGCTGGTGGCTGCAAGCTGCTGAGGAACCGCTTCGAGAGCAAAGACCGCGAGTGGGCGTCCTACACCTGCGTGCTGGGCTTCCACGTCATGGGTCAGCAGGGGGCGCCGTGGCGTGCTGCGTCTGCTCCACACAGGGCCTTTGTGTCTTTGTGCTAAATGTCACGGAGGACTTGGGTCACCGCCGGGCTTGCAGAGGGGTTTGCCATGAACATCACACCATTTAATAGCCACAGTAAAAGCTCTCGTATGCTCGGGACCGAGGCACTGCCGGCTAGTCCAGTTTTCCAGATAATTCTATGTTACTCTTGAAAGACACTGAACTGGATTGCATAAGCAGGCTGATCTGTAGGCGTGAGCAGGAACTGACCTGTTCTGCTCTGTGCTTTTCTTTGGTTTTGCCAGATACGAGAGCTTTTATGGTACATGAAGTCTGATTCACAGAAATTCATAGAAAGGTGTATGACATCTGGTCAGTTTCCATGCATGGATCTGGGTCATGTCTGACATGGTGTGAAAGGTTAAAGGTCACGTCTTCCCTCGCAGGCGTGTGGCTCGAGGGCTCGGACGGCACAGACATCAACGCCCTCTGCCGCTCACACAGCGAGAGGATGGTGGCCGTCGCTGACGACTTCTGCAAGGTCCATCTCTTCCAGTACCCCTGCCCCAAACCCAAGGTCAGTGCCAGCCGGTACCATCGTGTACCGTCACCGGGGACCCGGTCCGGTGCATTTTTACCAGAGGCATCACTAAGGCTTACTACCTTTTTCTAGGGTACAACAGCAGTGCCCATTCATGACCTGAATTAAATCTAATTTTACATCATTTTATTAAGTACACCTTCAGCAGAAAAACTTCATGTATTAGGGTAGGGTGACCAAATAAACTATGTCAGGAGGCCACTATGGGTTGGGACAGGACTTGTAACTAATATTTCAGTTAAAAGGACTTGAATTTCACTTAAGCACCGAATTCTTGCTGCGTGCTGATTGGTCATTCTCATATTGTCATGCATGTGTCACTAATGTTGATGTGAAACAGCTGGATGACTCTTTCAATCAAGGAAACAAACCAGTAAAAGCACAAGAAGAACTGAACTATTTAGCCAAACACAGGAGCCTTTCAGTTTTAAGGTAGTTTGTAACACAGATTCTGATTCACACTGACCAGCACAGTCACAGAGACGATCCGGGTCCCGATTCACACTGACCAGCACAGTCACAGAGACCATCCCAGTCCTGATTCACACTGACCAGCACAGTCACAGAGACCATCCAGGTCCCGATTCACACTGACCAGCGCAGTCACAGAGACCATCCCGGTCCCGATTCACACTGACCAGCACAGTCACAGAGACGATCCGGGTCCCGATTCACACTGACCAGCACAGTCACAGAGACCATCCCAGTCCCGATTCACACTGACCAGCACAGTCACAGAGACCATCCAGGTCCCGATTCACACTGACCAGCGCAGTCACAGAGACCATCCCGGTCCTGATTCACACTGACCAGCACAGTCACAGAGACCATCCCGGTCCTGATTCACACTGACCAGCACAGTCACAGAGACGATCCGGGTCCCGATTCACACTGACCAGCACAGTCAGAGAGACCATCCCGGTCCCGATTCACACTGACCAGCACAGTCAGAGAGACCATCCCGGTCCCGATNGCACAGTCAGAGAGACCATCCCGGTCCCGATTCACACTGACCAGCACAGTCAGAGAGACCATCCCGGTCCCGATTCACACTGACCAGCACAGTCACAGTGACAATCCATCTCTCTCCAACCATCTCATTCCCAGGCTCCCAGTCACAAGTACGAGGGCCACGGGAGTCATGTGACCAACGTCTGTTTCACACATAATGACAGTCACCTGATCTCCCTCGGGGGGAAGGATACGTGTGTCCTGCAGTGGCGTATCATCCCGGGGGGGCAGAGCAACTCGCTGGACCGCAGCACCTCAGCGTCCTCCACCTCCATCAGCTCCCAGGAGCCCGGCATGTAAACGAGAGAGAGGAGAGACGGAGGGCAGGGGGGGCTTCTCTGCCTGTGTTTGTGCCTGTGTGTGTTTGTGTATGTATGTTGGGCCTCAGGAGGTGCTAACTGGACAGTAAAAAGGTAGTAAGCGGGATGGACAATGAGGAGTTCATGGGGAGGAGTTCATGAGGAGGACTTCATGGGCTCTGAAGTGTGGATAACAAACATGAAAAGGAAGATAGGAGGATGAGAGAAACAAAGGAATACAGACGGCTACCAAGTGCCTTAACTATCCAGAGTGGAAGGAGGGAGCGCAGCCGACACTGGGACCCGGGTGCTTTTACGTCAAAGGAGATTCAGCTCTCCGGAGAGACATAAGAAGGTTTTCTTGTTCCTTGGTATAAAAAGGTGGAGGTGGTGTATGCTGACCCAGCGACCAGTCGGCTCTCACGTTTCCGAACGGCTTTTATTTCTCTTTTCTTTTTCTTACTCCTCACGGTTCATCTAGGACCACCCCACTGCTAACACTTGAAACCATTTTCCAGCCATGGTGTGGATGGCCTGACGGATTGTGACGGACTTCCGTGGGCAGAGACTCTGAGCACTTTTCCAGTACAGTCGACTTCCAAGACCAAAGTTTAAGACAAAATTCGAAACACAATGAACATTCATTGAATCTTGCTTTCACTTCTCTGCTCCTCCCTTGATCTGATCCAGTTTTCATATTATCATGCGGCTTTGAATCCTTCGTGCGGTCGTTGTTAATGAAAACGCTCCGAATGAGCTTCATTAATGGAAACTATAAGATGTTCTTCTCTGTTAAATGTAAGTTTGCATCATGTCTTACTTCCCTAACCGCAGATGTGATCCAAGGACACAGCTTTGGTTTGAACATTGGGGGGGTTGAGGTGTCCACCTCATATAGGGGGAGATGTGATTAATGGGGGGGTTCTATTACCTGGTTTTGATTATTGGGAGGGTCAACCCCCCCCCCATAATTTATGCCTGCGATGTGGTGCTTATTTCAGAATGGTTTGTACTCCCATTGTACTCACACGCCTCTCCTGGGATGTGTTCTGGGGGATGCAAGGCTCGGATGATTCCTTGCCCATCTTTTTCCCGTTCGGAAAGCAAAATCAGCCACATTAAAAGTGACATTTTTATTTTCTTAGCTGATAATATACCAAAGTGACTTTTTCTGCAGAGTAACTGCTTTTTGTTACATACTAACATTTATTTTCCACAGTCCTGTATGAAATGTGAGTCTTCGTTTTATTTTAATAAAAAGGCAAATGTGATGATATTTTTGGAAAGGCTTTTATTACGTTACACTTACCTTGATGGGCAAAACTATATTATTATACTCAAGAATAAACAAATGTCTGTATGTTTGTCCTGGGTGATTTTATTCATGCTGAACCTGACATTAATTTGTAACTATCCTTCTCATACATACGGCCACTACATGACCAGAACACAAGACTTAGTCATCTCTAAAAATAATGTGACTGTAGGCAATCCATAGACTCCTCGTCACTGTTAGCAAAGGTATGGCCTAAATATTATTTTCACTCTTGTCTTACTCTCAAAGCGTACGGGAAATGTGCGAATTTCACTAGTTAATAATAATAATAAATCATAATACATTTTATTTATAAGGCGCCTTTCAAGTCACCCAAGGACACCGTACATGAAACAGAGTAGTTGGCCGCATTTTATTCTCTGTCCGGGTGTAATTCCCAGTGCATCGTGAGCAGGAGGGATTACGTTACTCTGACGTTTTAAGACACAAGGAACTGCTTTGTTTTTGACAAGCATACCAATAACAAAGAGGTACATGTCCTTTTCTGCATAATAACGCCTGATTTCCCGGTGGTGGTCCGGCATAATGACGGCCGGTCGCCGGCAAAATATACCAAGGGTGATTCTCCCAGTCCCCCAATATGAAGCTGGTGATCATATCATTAATAATATCATAATTAAAACACAATTGATCACGCGTTTAATGCAGAGCTTTCACTAGATACGCAGCCCGCAGCATCCGCGCCTCCAGTAAACACTGAGGTTAACAGATCATAATAAATCAGACTCAAGTGTTCATCCTAAATCTTGCAATGAGGGGAGATTCCTGCAGTGTGTGTGTGCGTGTGTGTGTGTGCGCGCGCGCGCGAGGGGAGCCGCTCAGCGCGTGCCAGCCCAGCCGAGGTGAAGAAGAGGAAGATGAGGCTCGCAGCAGAGGACGGGAGGAAGAGCCGCGTCGGGAAGGCTGCAGAGGCGTGTGGGGCGGGGAGCGCTGCCGGGCGCCGAGGTCCGCTCTTTATCGCAGAGTCTGGCCTGTTTACCTGCCGGTGGCGTGGAGGGGGACAGTAAGAGAAGCATTTTACAGCCCGGTGTTAGTGCCTTAATAAAGGAGGAATGGCGGCCAACATGTACAGAGTGGGGGGTAAGTGCTTTGTGTGCACGGAGCCCGGTCACGGAGCGCTGCGCACCGGGGCACCGCGGCTGCGGACCGGCCGCCGTATCTTACCCGGCTCGCCCGGATGGAGCTCAGTAGCGGCGGTACGGCCCCGGTGTCCGTTCCCCGTGTGCATATTTACTGGCTCCCGTGAGCTCCGAGGCGTCCCGGCGTGCGGGGGCCAGTGCTTTGTGTCTCCCTTTGTAGCAGCCCGCTTAGCAGTTAGCGGCGCTGACTAGCGAGGAGCTGCGCGTGTGGCGGGTAGCTGGTCACGCGGGCAAAGGTGGCTGCTGGCGCGCGGGATGCGGGCTGCGATTCAGCCCCCTGCCGCCTTGGCTTTTAGAGGTGTGGGTAGATTATTGGGCTGGGTCATATTTTTATCGTAAGGGATTTACAGTAGGGAATGGGTCCCGTGTCTGCTCGGCGTGCACGGACACGACGCCGTGCAGCTCGGCGTGCACCGTGCAATGCTTATTACGTTTATCCTGTTACACCACTGATTTTTATCTTTTTAACGGCGCTGTTTACACTGTCGTCGCATTTTATCGATACTTTTATAGTCTTGCTTTTATTGCAGAGCTGGTTTAACGTTTAACCACATGCTCCAACAGCTCAGCCATTGAATCGGTGCGGGAAGTCTTGAATGAACCGTATAATTATGTCTTTATTCATGATTCACCTTCCTCGGCCTGCGGTGCATGTACAGAAGGCTGGGTGTGGGTTCGTTTGACCTGAGGTTCATTCTCAGTTTCTCCCTGACGCACCTCCCCCGTTGCGCCCCGCAGCCCGGCGCCCCGCATTGTTCTCTCGGCGTGCGTGGTGTCTCGCATCGAGCCCACGCCTATGCCTGGGCCCCGAGTCTCGCTTAAGTGCTTCCAGGTCTGTCATCGGCGGAAGTGCAGCATAATCAGACGTTCACATCTGCGGGAGGGCGGCCAGCTCGTGACACCTGCTCGGCTATAACCCCGTTTCTGTGACGAGCAGCCTGGAGTCGCGCTGGCCAGGCCGTGGGGTCGGTCTGAAGCACGCTGGCTGGCTGGCTGGATGGATTGATGTTTGGGTGGAGCCGAGTTAACGATCAGAACTGCTGTTTCTTTATTTATTGTAAGCTGTGGGTTTGTGAATTGAACAGTGTACTTCTGTCAAGAGTGCTGGTGTACATATAGTGTCTTTAAGTTGCTTTCATAGTTTGGCTGCCTGGATTAAACAGAAACTGTGCGATTCACAGGAGGAATAAGCGAACAGGCTGGTCTCCGCAGTGTAACCGCTGTCCTGGTACCTGTCAGACCAGAAGACACCACTGCGCCTCACCCACACCTGTCAGGACCTTTGCGTGAAAGTGGCCGGTGCATTCCGGAGTGTCATGAGCTTTTCGTGTGCTTGTATTCAGCTTCTTCAGAGTAGTTTTAGAACGTGTTTGACATAGAGGTATCGTGTGCCCCAGTCCTGGGTTCAAGGTCGCGAGTGGTCGTTTACTAGCGGATATGAGTACGCTAATTATGGGTTCGAACCCTCACACTGAAATGCATGAGTGCAGATGTTAAATGCTGACAGTAACCCCATCTTAACTCTTGCAGATTACGTTTACTTTGAGAACTCGTCCAGTAATCCGTACCTGATCCGCCGGATAGAGGAACTCAACAAGGTGAACATGAGAAGCTTTTCATGATTTCCTCTCCAGTTTAGTCAACAAAACATGCCTCTGTTAATCTAATCGAATGTTAGGCTAGCCTCTGTTAGCAAACACTCAGCGAACTCTTCATCTCACAGACTTTTACGTTTACCTGGAGACACATGTGTTTTATACACTAAATATTTGTGCGGTAATCATGGTGGGGCTGTGACATCCGTCCTCATGACCTTCATGATCTTGCTCTGAAAGCATGATGGATTTATAATTGGAATATTTAATGTAAAAGAAATAAAATAAAACTCGAGGTACATTTATGGCCCTTACTGAAGGTTTCTGATCTCTGCAAGCTGCAGCAGAACCCGGCTTAATAGAAACCTCGGGAGATCTTATGCACGCCATCCTGCGTTGATCTGATAACTAAAGCGCACACCTGACTGCTTCTGTGCCGCCGTCTTGCCGGTGCTTGCCCCCCCCCACTGACCACTTCTTTTTGTACACGTGCGTCTCCTTCAGACCGCCAACGGCAATGTGGAGGCCAAGGTGCTGTGCCTGTTCCGGAGGAGGGACCTGTCTGGAGCTCTTAACAACCTGGCTGACAACGGTGCCAGTAAGTAGCCCCCCCCCCCCACCCCCTGTCCCTGCAGCCCCGCCCCCTCCCAGTGACTCCGCCCCCTCCCAGTGACTCTCCGCTCCACTCCTCTCCTCATTCCAATCAAGGCGCCTTTGACTTTGTTTATGGTCATGGTAGCGCAGTGCCAAGTACAGCCACCGTGTGGCGATAAGGAGAACACTGGCATCCTTCTGTCTCTTTAGTCAGGCCCAAATGTCAGGCCCGTTGATGAGTGGTGTTTGGGGGTGTGGCCACAGTAATCCCCGGCAGATCTCGATCTGCACTGGGGCCCATCTCAGCTTGTTCTTTTGTGCGTCTGCTGACTGTTTAACGTCCCTTTATGCATTCATACCTCCCACCCACGCCCCCCCAGGCTCCCGAGCAAACCTTGGGCAGGGTGCTCGTATACAGTGCACTGGCTCAGCTCCCAGTCTTCCCAGCGCCCACCTGCCTACTGCGCCCTGCCATCAGCCTGCCCTCTGTCTTATCTGCCCCTGGTGCTCTTCTTACCCCCATGCTGCGGCACGTTGAGTAGAACAAAAGACCGTCGATGTGTGCAGTGTTTCTGGGGCACTGGAGGAGTTAAACCCATTTTGGGCTGCCTGTACCTTTAAGAAGGGGGGGTGTAAATGATGCTCTGTCACTGTCTTTTTTTAAATTTTCTTTTTATTTTAATTGCCGGTGTCCTGTTCTGCGTGTAGGGGTTTCCTGTGCCTCATACTGCGAAAACTGCGTAACTCATGATTATTCACGTCTGTTGTACTGATACTGGCAGGTGATTCCATAACGATAAAAACGGATTATATACGAGAGGTATTTCGGCCCATTGTCACCTGAATTACTTTTTTTTTTTTTTTTTGAATGTATTTATTCACAATCACAAACCGTTGATAAAGCAGGGTCAGCTAGTCCTTGAGGCTCCTGGGGGGCCAGGGCCTCACTCTGGGGCCCAATAGTGAAATATCTTTGCCAGGTTTGGGGTAAAAATGAGGATAATCTCTTTATTTGGCATCGGAGTCGGCAGAGAGCAGCACTCTGTCTTGCTGTCCATAGCTTGGGGGCCATAGCGCAGGGTCCGCTAACATGGACCTGGGGGTTAAGGGCCCACGCACATGTGGCCCAGGTGACCTTGATCCCCCGCTGAGCCCCTCACCAAATATGAACCAGCAACCTTCTGATCAGAGGTCCAGCCTCCCAATCCTCTGTCTCATAGTCCGGGCGTCGATAACAGTGACGTGGCGTGCTGGAGGATCGCGGCCTGTAGCTGTTAGCGGCCTCTGCTCTGCACCCCGCCCTGCACCTCCACCCCCCCCACCCCTCCCCCACGTTATCTGCTCCCTCTGCGGTCTCACTCTTATAGGCTTTTTGTCCCCAGCAGTGCGACTCATTCAGGCCTATTTGCGTATAATTATTCTTTTCCCAGTTGTGATCAAATCAGTTCAGAGCTACTTGGGAATCCTTTCTATCTGTGGCATTAGAGCAGTGATGCTCAACCTTTTAGCTCCGCGACCCCAATCTCTACCACGCCAGCTCAGTCGCGACCCTATATCAAGTATAGGTTTAAATTAACACTATGATCAAGCGCACAGTGCACTCTGCAATTTGCACCAATCAGTGCCTATTGCAGAAATCTGATTGGATGTGCCAGTGAATTTTAAATTAAGCACCTGTGGTTTGGCTTCTTTGATTGGTTGAGTGTTCACTAGATTTGCGCTGACCAGTTGCAGACCCAAGACCCATTAATATAGGGTAATTCTAGGATCGGTCCTGGGGAATCTGATCGTGGATCCGCATAGGAGCTTGCTGGCTTTAAAATGCTTACATTTCCAACTCCGCCTCACGACCCTTTCAGAACTTGGGTCGCAGCCCATGTGTTGAGAATCGCTGCGTTGGAGAATTTGCTGAGCAGACGGAGAGACCTTAGCGTCTTGCCAGTTTAGCGGTGAAGAATCTCCCCGCCTGCGATGTGGAAGAATGGGTACAGGCTTAGTGCTGTTTAGCGGACGTCCACCGAACGCCACGTGCCCACGTGCGAGGCCGCCGGGGGAGGCCAGGTGCTCTGTTCGGTTGGCAAGATGCTAAGATGGAGCTTTCTTGTGTCACCCCCACCCAGGGGAGTTTGAAGAGGAGACGCAGCAGCCCTCACTGCCCGAGGCCCAGAAGCATCAACTGAAGCACAGAGAGATCTTCCTGTCCAGGCAGTTTGAGTCCCTCCCTGCCACGCACATCCGGTAAGAGGCCCCCAGGGAAGGCATCCTTCGTGTTTGCCTGTGCTGGAGTCCTCAAAAGCAGCTCCTCTGTATGACACGGAGAGCCAGATTTGCTGTAAATGAGTGAATAGATTTGTCATTGGAAGCTGGTTCAAATACTGTTGTTACTAGAGTGAAGTGTCCCTAGTTTAGAGGAACTGTCATGGCAGCCTTAAGTGTCCCAATCTAACAGTGGCCAAGGGCCCTCAAGTCATTACATTCCTGCAGGGCTCCTTGGTGTCTGAACCTCCCTTATTTTGTGTTTCCTCGCTGTCTGTCAAGGGGAAAGTGTAACGTGACCCTCCTGAATGAAACGGACCTGCTAGGAGGTTATCTGGAGAAGGAGGTGAGGCATGAGTTTGAATGGTATATTTTTCAAAAAAGTTATTTGAACTTTAAATACCTGCTGCCTGAAACTGCTAGCTAAGTCTTTATTTCTCTCTGTGTACCTGAATGCATGCTAAAGCCTGTAGTTACCGCGGTATGCTCCTTTTTCAGGACTGCTTTTATTACTCACTGGTGTTCGACCCCATGGAGAAGACCCTGCTGGCGGACCAGGGAGAGATCCGGGTCGGCTTGCGGTACCAGGCGGAGATCCCGGACAAGCTGGCAGAAGGCAAGTGTGGCGGTGTGAGGGCTGAGGGGGCAGAGGGCAGAGGTGACCCTGTGGTGGGGTGGTGCCTGGCATCTTGGGCCTGGGGGGCTGTCTGTCATATATGATGTATATTATGATGCGTCATACTCCAGAAGCAGAACAGTATATCTATCTCATGCGTGTGTGTCTGTGTGCGCGCGCATGCGTGTGTGTCTGTGTGTGTGTGCGCGCGCATGCATGCGTGTGTGTCTGTGTGTGGGCGCATGCATGCGTGTGTGTCTGTGTGTGGGCGCATGCATGCGTGTGTGTCTGTGTGTGGGCGCGCGCATGCATGTGTGTGTGTGTGTGTGCGCGCGCATGCATGTGTGTGTGTGTGTGTGCGCGCGCATGCATGCGTGTGTGTCTGTGTGTGCGTGCGCATGCATGCGTGTGTGTCTGTGTGTGCACGCGCATGCATGCGTGTGGCTTTCTGTGGTTGGGGGTAGGAGAGGGGTGGTGGTGTTAGTTGTTGATGGGGAGGTGAGTAGTGGGGAGGTGAGTAGTGGGGAGGTGAGTAGTGGGGAGGGGCTGGACAAAGGGGCTAAAAGGAGGCCACCCTACAGCGATCTGGACAGGGGACTGGCACCTTACCCTGCAGTGACGTACCTGCGAAAAGGGCGTCCCTCGTCTGTGGTTAGGTTATGCCGCCGGTGTCCCATTGCCCGCCGGTGTCCCATTGCCCGCCGGTGTCCCCTGTTCACTTTTAGTCCTGTTGGGTGGGGGCCGTGTGGCTCGCCAGGGCACTGGGTGGCCACCCAGAATCCTGTGTCAGTTGACAGAGAACTTTGTTTCCTAAAATTGAAGGGTTGTGACGTGGGATTAAAACATAACTGGAATTAACTGTCAGGGGTGTCGGACGGCCGCATGCTGGAGAAGCTGGAGACCATGGTGTGGGACCCTGACAATCAGCTGAAGGACCCTGAGATCGACCAGTTCCTGGTGGTGGCCCGGTGAGTAACTTAACCCAGCTAAGTGTGAGATCCTGCTTTGTGGAACCCCCCTGAGCTCTCACGCCTGATGTGCTTGTGTCTGTAATTACACCTCTTCACCCTAGATGCTCTAGAGTTTGCATTTCAATGCTGTGCCACTGGAGAGAATTCCCGCAGCTTAATAGCGTGTTTTTGGCACTGCCTGAGCTGTTAACTGTCCAGCTGTTTTTTCACGTCGAGCTGAGCCTGCCCTCGACTGGGGGGTGTCTATTGTGAATACAGAAGTAGCAGTGGGTTTAGACTTCTGTAGTCTCCGCCCCCTCTGATCAGAAGCCCTGCTATTGGCCAGCCCTGTGTGAACAGGATAGTCACATGGGCGCCACCATAATGACGGTGTCCCCCCAGGGCCATAGGGACGTTTGCACGTGCCCTGGACTGTAGCAGCTCCATCCGGCAGCCCAGCCTGCACATGAGCGCAGCCGCCGCCTCCAGGGACATCACACTGGTGAGCCACCGGGGGGCGCTATGGTGCGGCACCCACCCCCTGCTGCAGGGGCGACTTGGCGGTTCACCCCTAACCGCTGTGCCCGTGTGACCCCCTCCCTTCCAGTTCCACGCCATGGACACGCTGCAGAGGAGTGGGTATGACCTGGCCCAGGCCATGTGCACGCTGGTGCCGAGGGGGGGGCCTGTGCTCTGCCGGGACGAGATGGAGGAATGGAGCGCGTCGGAGGCTGTGCTCTTCGAGGACGCGCTGGAGAAGTATGGCAAGGACTTCACCGACATACGGCAGGACTTTGTGAGTGAGCCCGTGCACTGCCGCACACCAGAGCAGCCGGTTCGCTCTATATAGCCATTACCTATTGCCATTACCACCAGGGGGCGCCAGTACCTCCCAGGGTACATGCTGGAATTGTTAGCGATTTAATATTACAGGACCTCGCTTTTAGGGATCTTGACACTCGAGGGGTCTTTGGAGCCTATGATTGAAATGACCATCTGACCGCGATGCTTCCGGAAAGGGGAGAGGCCCTGTCAAGCAGGCCGGTTTGGCGGCAGGTTTACAGCTTCGAAATGTATCGCGGCCAGAGCGCGGAGCTTGGGCTGAGAGTGTCCGGCTCTGCAGTGAGGGCTTCCCATGGCGCGCCTCAACCGCTCTTCGCTTAGGTAGCCGTCCCTCATGGCATCTTCTCCCTCCTCAGCTGCCCTGGAAGTCGCTGGCCAGCATTGTGCAGTTCTACTACATGTGGAAGACTACCGACCGCTACATCCAGCAGGTATCCTCAGGGAGCCCCGGGCTTTAGGCGGGCGGCTGTCAGTCGTGGGCGGTGCAGGCTGTGTCCCCTGTATGCTCTGCTTCCTGGGATGGAATCGAGGCTGTTTGAGATCCCACACTGGATCAGGAATTGTGGCAGAATGGATGCATGATTTATGATTTAAAGATACAGGGCAGGTGGAGGTCTGTCTGCCTCTGTCTCTCTCTGTCTGCCTCTGTCTCTCTCTGTCTGCCTCTGTCTCTCTCTGTCTGCCTCTGTCTCTCTCTGTCTGCCTCTCTCTGTCTGCCCCCTGCCCTGTTCTCCCTGAAATAGACTCCCAGTTCACCGTAAGCTGGTGCTGGATAATCGCCTATGGATGGATGTAAAGCATGCCCCCGACCGCAATGACGCTCTCTCGCATCGCATTCTGTTCTGTCAATGAGTTTTTATTGGAAGTAGCCTTTAGGAGCAGTCGTGCATCGGGCCACACGCTCTTTGTTAGTCTTTGATCGCAGCCTATGGCAGTGACGATGCTGTCCTTCTGAATCCTTTCCAGAAAAGGCTCAAGGCAGCGGAAGCAGACAGCAAGCTGAAGCAGGTCTACATCCCCACCTAGTAAGTGTGTGGGCGGGGCCTGGGGGTGTGTGGGCGGGGCCTGGGGGTGTGTGGGCAAAGAACAGCAACTGAACTGGAGACACAAGCCGTTGGCTTAGAATGACGTGATCTCTTGCCTTCGTACTGCCTGTGCACGCTAGTCCAGGTGCGAGGGTGACAGCAGGTCCTACACGGTGATCTCTGCTTTTCTGCCACTGCAGCACCAAACCCAACCCCAACCAGATCTTGGTTCCTGGTAGTAAACCGGGATCGAACGGGACTACAGGGTTCCAGAAGGGACACAGCTGCGAGAGCTGCCACTGTGAGATGCCGGGGGGGTCATTTGGGGTCTGGGTACTGTTGGGGCTAATCAGTGAGGCGAATGCGCCTAGAGGCCCCTAAACTCCTTGCTCTGTTCCAGCTGCCCACTCGCAGCAGTGGTATGCCTGGGGCCCTCCCAGCATGCAGTGCAGGCTCTGTGCATCTTGCTGGGTTTACTGGAAGAAGTACGGGGGCCTGAAGACCCCCACGCAGCTGGAGGGTGCAGTCCGGGGCAGCTCGGTACGTCCTCCCCCCCCCCCCCCCCACTCGCACTCCTGACGTGACGCGGCCATAACGCCTGCTTCCCCCCACCCCACCAGGATGACGCGCCCAGGAGCCAGCTCACCCCCCCGGAGGTGCAGGACATGTCTCCGTTTGCTGCGGGCAGCGCCAACCGTGCAAAGCTGCTGGCCAAGAATAGGCAGACGTTCCTCCTGCAGGCCTCGGCGCTGACGCGGTTGGCCCGGCGGCTGTGTGCCGACGTGCTGAGGCCCCGGCGGGCAGCCCGGCGCCCCTATGCCCCCGTCAGCGCCACCGCGCTCAGGACCGAGTGTGAGTCACTGCGGGAGCGGCTCCACGCCGTGGCTTACCGTGCTCCCCCCCCCCCCACGCACACACTGTCTGTACTGTAGTGACAGTTTCACCTAGACTCTCTATGGCAGACCTGGTCAAAAGCCATATTTACCGGCCCACGCAAAATAGTTTCACATTCAGGTTTAAGAAGATAATTCCTAGAATTAATAATGCATGTCAAAAACAAATGCAGTTTTCCGTTGGCCTCTGCATCTATTTTGAAATGAGGCGAATGGCAGAATTATAAGAAGTAAAATCAGCCGCTGCAGAGGTACTGAAGCCGAGGTTTGTCCTCCACAGACAGTAACTGCCCAGACTTATTCGAAGGTCTAGTGGAAGAACTATCATTGTTCTCTCTGTCTGTCTGTCTGTCTGGTCTGGTCTGGTCTGGTCTGGTCTGGTCTGGTCTGGTCTGGTCTGGTCTGGTCTGGTCTGTGTGTGTGTGTGTGAGAGACTCTGGCCGGGCTCCCTGACATCCTCTCTCTCTGACTCCCCTCCATTAGGTATGGCCAGGCTTCCCAAAGCCCCCAAGGGACTGCTGAAGCCCAAGCCAGCCAAGTCCCGACCTGCCCTGGCCACGGTAGTCAAGAAACTTGGTAGGAACCGATGTGCGTCAAAGGGGACTCTTGGTTTGGGAGACGGATGTAATTTGCAGAGTTTGTCTAAATACACCCTCATGTGACTGATTAGCCCTTCAGACCCCTCAGAGGCTGAAGCCCTCCAGGGGCCCCCCAGTGCCCATCAACCGCAACCAATCTGGGCAGCCGCGGGCCGCTGCCAGTCTTCTGGGCAAGAGGCCACTCGACGCCGTGAGTGCCCCCTCCGCTCTCCCTCTTCTGTGCCATGCAGGTTAAGCTGGGTGCCCAGCCTCGACCTTCAGATGACCTTGCGTGACCCAGCTATCTTGTGCTTTCTTGTGATTGGCCACAGCCGCCCAGTAACGGCAGGGCGTTGGCGCCGAGTGTGCAGAACGCCGGCCAGTCCGTGATCAAGAGGCAGAAGGTCAACAACGGCGACTCCCCCAACCCCGTGGTCTTCGTGGCCACCAAAGACACGAGGTACGCATCGGGCCCAATAGCGATCGGTTGCCCTTTTGACTCTCCACTGGCCTTCGATCCTACTGCCAGTTACTGACGTCTGGCCCCAGCAACAAATTTCATTAAGGCAGAAATATCGAGACAAGAGTGCCACAGATTAAAATCAGGAAGTGCCTGTTTGCACTTCATTTGATAATAGTTGTTTGTAGACCGTATAAAAGGCAGATTTATGTCTCGTCACGCTCGATGAGTGTTCAGTTATCCGTGGCCCCTGTTTCAGGGCCCTCCGGAAGGCTCTCAACCAGGGCGAGATGCGGCGTGCGGCCCGGAAGCCCCACCTGCTGGTGAAGCTGAAGGCGGCACCAGTGCCAGTGCTGGCGGCCGTGTCCAGTGAGCCCATCGTGCTGGAGGACTGAAGCCTGCCCGAGTCCGGCCCACGGTGCGAGTCCGGCGGCTCTCACAACGCCATCCTTATTGACGTCTTTCTGTTTTGAGTTCCTACTCCCTCAAACCCCCGCCCCCCCAAACGGGTGTCTTTCCTGATCCTGCCACACGGGGGCACCCTAGTCTAATACCCCAGCCTGACTCTCTTTTCTTTGTTCCTGGTTCACATGCCTCAAGGTTTACTCAGGTGCATGCGTGTTGTCCAGAAAAATGACGCTGGTATTGATGATGTCAACATCAGTCTCTAATAGACAATGTTGTGTGTGTTTGCCTTCATCTGGCTGTACCCTGTAGAAAGTGCAGTATTTGTGGTCATAGATGTGGGACGAGTGCCAGTGAGTTTGCATCTCAGCCTTGGTACTGGGCCACCTGGTATCAGTCACAGGAGGACGGCAAATGGTCTCCTTTCTGATCGCTAAGCCCCTGATCTGCTGGTTTTCCACGATTGAGCCGAAACGTTCGGCAGAGGTGTTGGATTAATTTTCTTTTGGTATTGTAATGGTTTAATAATGAAAAAGTTTGAAATGGAAAATGAAGTTCAAAAACTTTGGTTTATAAAACAAATTTTGTGTTAATACACAATCTTGAGTTTCAAACGCCTCTTTAAAAAATGTTAGTGCCCGTGTTCCCTGTTTTTAATGGGACCCTTTTTTTACAAGCCATCTTGTTCCTGATTGTGTGTGCGTGTGTGTGTGTGTGTGTGTGTGTGTGCGCGTGTGTGTGTGTGTGCGCGTGTGTGTCTTTGTGTGTGTGGCGCGCGCTCCAGTACACACTCCCCTCCTCCGGTTGCTGCTGGCCCCATCAGGGCCACCAGGGGGCGATGCTCCCTCCCATCTGGACAGGCGGCTGGTAATCCTAACCTGGTTTACTGCTCATTACTAGTAGGGTTGTGCTCTTTTCAGGGAAGAAAAAAAAAAAGTTTGACTTTTGTACGTTGTAAAGAGATTCAACAATCAATTTTTTGCAAATGTTTTTGTATTCTCTGGACCAATAAATGTCTAAAACCTGTGATTTGAATTCTTCAGAGTCCGTGTCGTTTCAGTGTTTGTCCTTGTGTCTGAGGTACGACTAACGGGGGGGACTGTAAGATTACGCTCTGGTGGGTGTCTCCCTGCAGGGGGGGGGGGGGGGGTCAGCGTCTTCCTACAGGAACACCCCCGGCTGAGTTTCCTGCTGCTCCGCATCCACTCACAGGTTTACGGAACGTGCCAGAAGCCCAACGTACCCAGAGCTCTCAGCAGTAAGTGTTAAACCTTTTTTTTTTTTTACCTTCCTGGATTTTTGTGTTTTCTCTCCATCATCCTCACCATCATGAGGATGGCTGGGGTAAGTTCTGTCCATTGTGGCATCTCCGAAAGGCCCCCAAACCATCACTCAAGCCTTGTGTATGATTTACACGATTCTTGGCATAGCAAAATAAAAAAAAGAAAGACTACGTGCCTTGGACCCCCAAAAAAAAACATTTCCATCTAAAAATCATTGGATGACACAACGGCTCTGCACCCAGATGGCCAGTATGAGGCGCTCTCGTAATCCCCTTACCCCTCATGCACATTAATCCCCAATCCCCCTGCCCTCCTTGCGGATCACAAGCTTACACTCCCACCACCTGCACAGAGAGTCTGCGTGACCATGAACAGGCTGATGGCCAGGGTGGCCCCCTCCCCGCTTGCTCTGCCAGGTAACCTGCTCCAGCCCATGCTCTCGTACCCGGTGACTCCGCATTACTCACATGTTACTCATGGTTTTATGTTGCGTGTACCCACCGGGATGTTGGTGATATTCCGCCTTATGATTGAATTTATTTTGCAGTTTGAATTTGTCACTGTGACCCAGTACCAGTCTACTGGTCAAGGGATACAAAAATAGCTGTGAAAGTCTATGATTTAATAGCAAACAACTGATTCTGCACTTTCCTCTACTAGAAGTAAGTGATTGAGGCTGTCGCCGTTGTCATAGACCACGGTTGCTCTGATCTGCGCCTTTAAAAGGTCCAAGACTATTTTCTTCTACTCGTCATTAGAAGAGAAGTAAAAATCCTGTCTGATGATCAATTTTTGGACTCTTAGGTTTTTTTTCCTTTCCCAGGATGCCTTGCAAGTAGCTCAGAATATGAATGAAATGCTGCATAAATAGGAAGCGAGAAACGTTCTCTTTGCTCTGCATAATTATCTCTGCAGGGTTCCGCTCTTGGTTTTTCACATACGTCTTACTCTCTACATCTGAAGGGTTATTTTCCCTTCTGGGAACCTTTAATCAGAACATAGGAGTATTTCCGAAAATACACTATTTGAGGACTTGTCTGTAATATGATTTGTAAAAGAACGAGACGACCAAACCATAAAACAGTGATTTTTATTGAATTTTTTTTTGGGGGGGGGGGTCAGTGGAACACTGGGGGTCCTTGCTGTTGATCTTGTTCTCTCTCCTGCTCTGCTGCAGACGGGCAGAGAGATAAGGGACCTGAAGCTGGCATTCCCATGGCAGAGGGCTGGGCTGGTCACGCGGGCAGCTGCTGCCCCCGGTGGCCACTGCAGGTGATGCGGCGGGTGGCCTGGGGTCTGCTGTTGGGGCCCTCGGTGGCCCTGTCCTTGGCCGGCGGCACACAGAGCGCCAGGGCGGTCCTACAGAGATGGCACGCGCCCTTCTTCATCACCTGCTTCTGCTGTGCGGGGAACTTGCTGCTCTTCCCATTCTACTACCTGGGCCAGCTTGTAGGCGCGGAGAAGAGGCAGGGCCCCACAGCATCCTTCAGGTGGCGCCACTGAGCTGGTCCATTCATTTCGCAGCTGTGGTGATTCTGGAACAGGCGTGGGGAGTTGAGGTTCAGAAAGTAAAAATCCAGACCAAGATTTTGCTTCAAACAACCAGTTGAGTACACTGTGACTGTGTTTCCCAACCCAATTCCTGGGGACCCGCAGACAGTCCACATTTTTGCTCCCTGCCAGACAGTCCACATTTTTGCTCCCTCCCAGCTCCCTAGGGTGATTTGTTTTTGATCATTGGAGCATCGGGAGGGAACAAAAACGTGGACTGTCTGCGGTCCCCTGGACCAGGTTGGGAGACCCTGCTTTATACTGTACTGAATGGCTGAATCAAAATCTTAGTTTGAATTTTTATTTTCTGGACCTGAACTATCCACCTCTGTTCTGGAGTCTGTCCCGGTGAGCGTGGAGTGTGATGAGATACTGGTGCATCGCTGGAGGCACATACTAAGGGTAACCTGAAGGTGGCACTGTTTTAGTGATCCAAAGTACCATGAGGAGGAGCAAACAAGCACCAGTGCCAGGGTGTGAGGTGATGATGTCACCCACTTTACTTCTCACCAGAGACGTATATCAACATAGCACAGAAAATGAGTGATTGCTGCGGCGGGGGGGCAGCCTGGGATTATCTCTTTGCAGAGTGATAGCCAAACAGACTCTGCGTCGGGGGGGTAGCCTGGGATTATCTCTTCGCAGAGTGATAGCCAAACAGACTCTCACAGGATCTAAAGCCTTTTATCATAAGCTGCTTTATCATCCTAATCTACTCAGATCTCCAGCTAAACCAGTCAGTGTAATGAATTGCCTTTGATGTTTTCACGATTTTACGTGACTCTTAAGATATTTCTTTTTTACTTTCTTGTTATGTGGGTGGTGTGGTGGCTTCTGGTTTCAATCCTTTGGGGTTCAGGGTTCGAACCCTGCCTCTGCACTGGGTGGCTGGGGTTTCTGTTGTGTGGGTTTCCTCCTGTGGTGCCAACGTGCAGTTATGCTGACTGACATCTCTAGTTCAGCCCCAACAGCATCTCCTGCAGGGTGTCCTCCTGCATCCTGCTCCCTGGAGAGCCTCTAGACTTCTCCAGCCCTAGATAAGGGGTGTAAAGCTGGATGGATGGATTTCATATGGGTGTCTGTTGTCACAACCTTCATTAGATCCCTAAATAACACCCTCTCTCCTCTTAAAGTTCAAGTTGGGCACTTTTTGCTCAGAAATGTGTCCTCATTCATCTGCTGGTGCTTTACCCATAAGTGCTTGTGGCTGCGGGCCCCTCTTGTCCGCCAGGCAGTGCAGCGCCTTCCTGGGGGAGGAGGGTGTGACCCTGCGCGCGATGCTCCGGACTGCGGCCCCCTTCTCCGTGCTCTGGAGCCTCTCCTGCTACTTGTACTTGCTGGCTCTCCGCCGCATCTCCGCCGGCGACGCCAGCGCCATCCTGTGCTGCAGCCGCGCCTTCGCGTTCCTGCTCTCCTGGATCGGCCTGAGGGACACCTTCATGGGAGTGAGGGTAAGCGGGGACCCCCACTAGGACTTTGGGAAGGGGGCCGTCTGGTCACATGGCCAGCTCTGCCCATCAAGCGTCCTGCTGGCATTGGGGTGGAGGTGTCACTGAGGGGGCGGCGGTCACAGGAAGTCTCAGGAAGTCTCAGCAAAAAACCTTCTGCAGGACACTGGGACCACAAAGAGCCAAACCACTGAAAGGTAGAAGCAGGAAAATGGGATAGTGGTGAAAAAGCACAGCCACGTAAAATGGGATAGTGGTGAAAAAGCACAGCCACGTAAAATGGGATGGTGGTGAAAAAGCACAGCCACGTAAAATGGGATGGTGGTGAAAATGCACAGCCACGTTCTGTCCTTTCCCCCAGATAGTGGGGACTATCCTTTCCGTCACCGGAATTGTCATGATGGCCTATGCGGATGGTTTCCATGGCGACTCCATCATGGGCGTGGCCCTGGCGGTGGGCTCTGCATGTGCCTCGGCCCTCTTCAAGGTCAGTGGATGCGTGTGAGCATGTTACCGTGCCGCTGCCTTCGCTGCCACCCCCTGCTGGCTGCATTGTGCATCGCCCCGTCCCCCAGGTTCTCCTTAGGAGGCGTGTGGGGGAGGAGCAGCCAGGGGGCGCCAGCGTGCTGCTGTCCTGCGTGGGGATGTGCGGCACCTGCCTGCAGTCCTGGCTCAGCGGCCTGCTCTGCCTGACGGGCGTGGAGGACTGGCCAGCCACTCAGGACGCGGCCTGGGGAGAGCTGTGCCTGGCAGGCCTGCTGTCGCTCTGTGAGCCGCCGCCCAGCACCCAGTTCCACCCCCAAGCAGACGCTATGCTTCTGCGTTAAGTGTCATGTCAGGTTTCACACAAGGCGTCATTTTCTCATCACAGCTAGCAGACAGATTATTGCTCAATTAGACGTACATATAGGGCCAAAAATACGCGGACCTGCCAATTAATCAGAGGAATTTCCTGTTTAATCCACACCCACTGCTGACGCAGGTGTATAATTAAGCACACAGCCATGCAAACTCCTGCAACAATCATTATCAGCAGAACGGGTGGTTGTGTCAAAGAGGCTATTGACTGTCCACTTGGCACCATCGCAGGACGCCATCTTTCCAACAAGGCAGTTCACCTCATTTCTGTCCTGCTAGAGCCGCCCTGGTCAACATTAAGTGAAGTGACTGTGAGTGAAGGTCACAAAATCTGTGAGCAAGTTCAGGTGTGAAGTGGTCGGCCACACAAGCTCACAGAACGGGACCTGATCACCCAACATCAATACCTAACCTGAATGGCAGCAAATCCAGCAACGTGCCAATATCTAATGGGAAACCTTCCCAGAAGGACACAGGCTGTTACAGCAACAAAGGGTGGACCAACTTCACGTTAATGCCCTTGGTTTCGTAATGAGACTTTGGACAAGCTGGTGTCCACATACTTTGGGCTGAATAGTGTACATTTTTTGAGAGGGCAGGGGCAGACAGTCCCTGGCGCGATTGGGGGGTTAAGGGCCTCGTCGGGGCCCAACGGGGAATTTACTCTGCCGACTCCGGGATCTGAACCAGACACCTTAACAGCTGCTTTAACTGCATTTACAAACATGCAGGAATTGCTGACGTGCTGCTTCATTAATGAGCCGGCTAACGTCACGCCTCCCCTGCCGCCCAGCCTTCACCGCCGCGGTGACTCTGGGAAGGCCGCTCACCTACCCGGCCCTCATCGCGCTCGGCATCTTGATGAGCGTCCCAGCCAGCACAGGTACCGCCAGAGGCAGGGGGGAGATGATCACAATGGCACAACTGCTGTTAAATGTTTGTAAAGGGAATTACTAAGCATAATGACAGAAATGCAGTGCAGGCTGACAGCTGTATGAATAGAAGGCTGTTTAAATAAAAAATGACATTTGTTGACGTGTATAAAACAGCTCTGGACTGACGTCTTGCCATCTGCTTTTCCTAGCTGCAGACTTCTACCTGGATGCATCGCCTCAGCTCAGCCAAGTCAGATTGGCAGCAGCCAGTACCATTGGAGTAGGCTACCTCCTGCTGCTCTTTCCTGTGAATTGGGATGAGAGCTCCCTCCGGTGGCTCGGAGGTCTTTGGCAGGGCAGGTGGCGAGGAGACCCTGCAGAGGAGGTCGACACTGGGATCGTGTCCCACGCTAATGCGAAACCTGCTGGTGTGGCAGCACCACTGTAAATCTGTGGGACGGCAACTCGCAGCTCACTTTAGGAGATTCGTGTAGAACTTAAAGGGCAAGAAGGTTCAGCATTATAACTGGGCAAATTCTTTGACAACCCCTGCCCTACATACAGTTTATGTCAGCTAGACAGATATATCTTTGTAAATCATTCTATCTCCAAATTATTATCCAGTTTAGAGTCATGGGGGGCCTGGACCCCATCTCAGGCAGGTACACCTTTGATAGGACAGCAGTGCATGGCAGGATCTGCTCCACATAATGTACACATGGACACAAACAAACAAACAGTTTACGGAGTGCATTCCTTTGGCTAAACATGAAGTATTTTACTAAGTGTACTCAAATATACTGCCCTGGGCATTTCAGAAATAAAATATAACTAATAAAAATCAGTCCCTGGTCTGTTTTCCGTGAGATTGGTCCGCAAAACTGCTAATTTAAGCAACTCAAACTGCATTATGCGTTTAATTGCCCCGTAGATTTCATTCCACATCTACGTATTGGTGGATTAATTGAAATATGTACATGAGATTCTCAAAACCACATGTTCGCAACTATTAGCACAATTAAAATGCGAATTAGCGTATCTTTTGATGTGAACAGCCCCCAAAGACTAAATAAATGCGTTATACAAACGTGAAACAAGATGTAGATCACCGCCAAAATTGCTCATCTGGTTCATTATTATAAAACATATAATAATATAAAACATAAAAGTACATCTTACAAAAAAAAATATAATAATAAGCGGGTGCCGCATTTGAGGCTGCGCCGCGCTTTCTTTGTAGATCACATACCGCCTGGACTATGGTTGGTCAGTAGAGGGGGGACAGATGACGGATGGTGGCTGAGCAGCCTTGGGGAGTGAAAAGACAGAGCAGAATGACAGCCGCCCCCCACGGCCATGCGACTCTGTGATAAAGGCATTTATATAGCACTACAGACAAACTATTCATCGTGGGCAAGCCAGCAGCCCATATAACTTTATTGTAAAGCCATAGCTACAATGTATTTTCCATAAATATATTCTAAAAATTATATATTCGTTAAAATAACATTCATGGTACTTAATTTTATAATTGTGTTCACTAAATACTCTCTATACATACGAAACAGCGTGTCTTTGGGGTTAATATTTAGCATTCCCACACTGCATAACTGTTATGCGATTCTTCTTTACGCAGCTATACCGCAGCTAAACGAACCCTTTTTGCTAAACAGCAACCACGAGTCGGCGATGCGCCCTCCGCGCCGCTAGGTGGCAGCATGGCACAGCACACATGCTATTTTCCCGCTGCATCGCTACGCACCATAGAAAGCGGCCGTGGCGGTTCCCCGTCGAAGGCGTGCTTGGGAAACAGTTTCTGAAAATATGGCACTCAATGCAGGTTCCTTTCATTTTTATTTTTTATGTTGTTGCATTAACACTGTGTTTTCCTTGGTTTTATTATGAAGGCAGTGCAGTCTTTCCGTGTAAGGGAAGCTGAATGAATCGATGCTATTCCTGCTGTGTTCCTTTGCTACTTGATCCTTGCAGCATGGATCCGTTTTATGTTTAAAGACTTAAAAATTAGAAATTGAATGAGCTTGAATTTAATGATGACCTCGGTTTGCTGCCGGTATATTAACAGCTAAGATATTTAAGATAGATACGACGAGATATAACTTATTAATCCAAGGGCGAAATTGTTTTATAATTGTATCTATATGATCAAGTGGTAAATGCTTTATTTCTGTCTCGTATTATCTTGTACTTGATTACTGTAAGATAATATATTTGTGTAGTGGGATGTCTGACGAAACATTTGTTTTTCTGTGGACTGTATGTTAAGTGTGGCATCAGCATGTCGATGTGGAAATTATAGCTGGAATATGCATGAAAGATCAGCTTGTAAGGTTAATCTTTCCATCAGTAATGGTAACCAGGTAAGTGACTAGTTAGGTGTTAACTGGTTTGAATGGTTATTCATAGATTTCCAGAAGACCCGTGTTGACCGTTTGATTGAAAGCGTAATCCTCTTCGTGACATCCGGGCCTAGCTGGTGACAGGAAGGTCACAGGTGTGATACAGTCTTTCCTGCCCTTGTTGCAGAGGATGAAGAGTTTGATTGGGAACCTCCTTCTGAAGCCGAGATGAAGGTCATCCAGGCTCGGAGGGAACGTCAGGATAAAATTAGCAAGCTCATGGGAGACTACCTCCTGAAGGGTTACAAGATGCTGGGCGAGACGTGCGGCCAGTGTGAGGTGAGTGACCTGCATTCCCTCCACATGCAGTGTAGGGCTGCAGGCAGCCTGGAGCCTCTGCCAAGCAACATCAGGACAAAGGTGGGGAGCATTCTGGATGGGATGTCGGTGTATTGCAGGGCACACACACACACACACACACACACTGCATGCAGTGGGTAATTCAGAAATGCTGAGTCACCTAAAGCATGTTTTTGGACTGCAGCAGGAATCCTTTGCAACACTAATGGAAGGTTTTAACCGAGTTGGGATTCACTCCCGTTTCCTTGGCGATGTGAAGCAACAGGGCTGCCCGCCGTCTCACTGTCCTGTGCTGCTTTAATTATCGTGAAACAAATATTGCAGATGGTTCATAAATTTTCCAGTGCAAAACGTTACGTGGAATAAGGATGGCGTTTCCTTCCAGACGATCCTGCTGCAGGACAGGCAGAAGAAGAACTATTGCGTGGCCTGTCAGGAACTGGACTCGGATGTCGACAAGGACAACCCGGGTATGAACCCCTCTGTGCGCCTGGCAGCTTCCTCCCTGCGTAGCTCCGCATGGCTGCCCCACTCCTGAACCCCTGCTTTTTCCTTCTCCACCCAGCACTCAATGCACAGGCCGCGCTGTCACAGGTCAGGGAGAGGCAGCTGGCAGCTCAGGACTCCCCGCAGGTGGGCGGGGCCTCGTCCGGCGACTCCTCCCTCTCAGTATCCGGGCTCCCACGGCCCGAGCACTGCGAGGGTGCCGCCTCAGGGCTGCGAGGGCCGTTGCTCGCACCTCCGGCCCCTGCCGCACCCGCGTCTGTGCCCGGACTGACATCCTGCAACGTCGCCACGGTGCCCAAACCCGTTCGGCCCATCCAGACCCCGGTGCCGGCGCCTGCCCACACGCAGCACCCTGCCGTGTCCTGTGCCGAGGAGGCTTTGCTGCAGAAGCTGCGCTGGGCTGCACAGGAGCTCCAGCAGTCCACTGCGGTAGAAGCCAGCGCCCAGCTGTGCGGCCTTATCCGGAGCTGTGCAGAGTCCCTGCGTAGCCTGAAGGAACTGCAACAGCCCTGACGCTGGTTCCCCTAGACGTCGCTTTCTCCTTTCCTTCCCCTTTTTAAACGTGGTATTACAGCAGGAACATCTCAGATCAGGCCGATCCATGCTCCCCAAAGCTGGAAAAACACAGCCCTCCGTCCCAATAAAGGGGAACCTTAAAAACAAACCCGTCATGTGCTGACCAGTCATGGTCCTGGTGCTTTGAGGCTGCTGCTGTTTCTGTGGTAGAGCTGCGTGATGTCAACCTTTTATTTGTAAGACTGTCACTTTAAGAGCAAAGGAGAGGCCATTGTAATATGTTCTGAAACTTTTCCCATAATGCCGAGTCATACCAATACACCTATTTAAAGTTATTCAATTTAATGGTAGAGCTGTTTTCAGTCCTGAAGAACAGCTGTGTTCAGGATGATTAGTTCCTGATCATTTACCTGTATTGTTATGAAGAAAAAAAACTGTAGTAGAAGAGCAGACCGTAGAAAACCTCCCAGATATTAGACTCAGATTCACACCCACCGCACAGTTTAATCGAGGCTCTCTGTAGCTACATTGTACAGCTTGGACACGAATGTGTGGATCAGTTACTTGGTGAAATTCACATCATATGCCCTGCCAATAAACTCCAACTTCACCGTTGTTTTGGAACTTTACTCCTTTGCTTTCACGTTATTTTGCTCTTGGGAATGGGGGATATACGAAATGTCATTTACTTTCATTTAGCAAGTACATAATATACAGTCTGAAATTACAGGTTAACGGTGTTAAACGTTGATTTTTCAGGCTCCTTTTGTGAAGCCCATATTTTTTTATGGTATTACTTTGGTTTAATAATAGTATTATTGCTTAAAAAAGCGGCCTCCGAGAGTCCTTGAGGGGTCGGGAGGATGTGGGCGGGGAGGCGAAAGGGGCGATGGGGGAGCGCAGACAAAGGGACGCACGGAGGGCAGCGAGCCCCAGAACTACAGCGCCGCTGATGGAGCTGCTGGGACCGGCGGCGCTTCAGAGCTGCAGTTAGACATCTGGGCACGGAATAGCGGACATCACGGCCGGAGGTGAGGCGCTACTTCAGCCTTTAGTGTCCTTTTTAATACGTGCTGGGAAACAGGGGCGTCCTGCTCTGAAAAAAAGCCGCTCAGATACTCAGATCGCGTCGCGTATTCTCTTTCAGTCCTTTCGGCATCTGGGAGTATTTGCGTTTATTCGTAAAAACACGATTTATCCTGATACAAAGTAGCGTACGCTTACCGGCTGCGATCTACCAGCACACCGCTGTTTATAGATGCATAGCATTGAGATGTAAAACTAAAATCAATGTGTCAATTCCCAGATCATAAAAGGAAATTAGAATCTACATGAATAGGCTATATGACCTACATTATGATGCGACCTTTTTAGGTAAAGTATGGTAGGATTTGGTTTGTTATTGAGCGTATTTGAACATCTTATTTCACTAGTGATGGACGGGAAGATGAACGGACTGCAGCCCGCTTCTGCACCCGAGTGTCCGGTCGGGAGCGTCTGCTTCATCGAGGGTCTGCCCCCGCTGCCGAAGGGCCTCAGCGGCATCCTCAACTCCAGCGGCGGCTCCTGGAGGGACATCGAGAAAGTCTACAGCAAGAAGACCCGCATCCAGGCCGACATTAGCAAGTCCCGGTTCAGCGACTCTCTCGGGCGTAGCAAACCGGCCAGCCTGGACGCGGCGCTCGCCGTGCTCCGTAAGGAAATGGTACGGGGGGAATCGGCGCAGACATAAAACTGCCCTTCAGTTCAATTAGGCCGAAGTTGAGTTACATCCAAAGCAGTTTGTGTTTGTATGGCAGCATAGACAAGTAGAGGCAACACATAAAACTAAGTTTCTCCGCAGCACATTAAAAGAAACACTAAAAGTGGTCGCAAATCGCCATTTTCACCTTCATAGCTCTGGGAAACTTGGTACGTGTTTTTAAAATGACCGAGTTGAACAGCTTCAGAGCGCTGTGTACTGAGAGATCATTCACTGCCCTTTGTCTCACTCCCAAGGTGGGCCTCCGCCAGCTGGACATGTCTCTGCTCTGTCAGCTCTGGTCTCTTTATGAGTCTATCCAGGAGTGCAAAGGAGTCTTTCATGACTACTCATCCTCCCTCCTCTCTGAGAGCTCCTTCACCACAGAGAACGGCTATTCTGAGGAAGAAGAGGAGGAGGAGGAGATAGAGGAGGACGAGGAACATCAAGGACAGGGGGGCCCTCAGGCCCCATCTACCACATCTCTGCCGCTTCCACAGCCTGCTCAGAACTCCAGGGACCAGTGGATCAAGGAGTCCTTTCACATCCCCTTATAAAGGCAGTGAGTCCTTCTCTCTGACTCACATTCTACACACCCATGGGATTTAACACACTGAGCCCTCGACCCATCTCACACTCTACAGATTTAACATGCTGAGCCCTCGACCTGTCTCACATTCTACACACTCATGGGATATAACACACTGAGCCCTCGACCTGTCTCACATTTTACACACCAATGGTATTTAACACACCTTCTGTCACACCGATGGAGTGTGATGATTGCATTTTAATGTCCACTTAATGGCTCCCTTGTGAACCTCAGCGTATCTTAGTTTTAAACGGTGCTATTTTTTCTGCACTTCTCTGCATTTAAAACAGTAACTAAATGCTTACAGTCCTGCAGGGGTATTCAGCACATGTCTATATATGGCAATTACACAGTCTGCGATTTTTTTAAACTTTGAGGCTTGAATGTAATTATTATCCTATTTGAAAATCTTGTAAATAAAACTTTTTAAAATATTCATTATGCTTCTTTACCAAGCTATATAATATGTAACTGAATATTGTGAATAATTTACAAGCTCTGTTTGCAGTGATTATGATTTTAAGATACTAAAATATCTAAGATACTACATTTACTTTGCTGATAGTACAAACGGGCTCTTAGAATATTAAGTGCTTTTTATTATTAAAAAGGCCAGTATTTACATAACAAAATGCTGTTGTTGTTTCATGAGCCTTACTGACACAAAGTATCGACAGCACCTTTAAATGAACTGCCTCAATGGATCAGCCTTAGCTGACAAATCTCAGCGCCTTTGTTTTATTAAATAAGGCATTGGTGTGAATCGTATGATACTTCTGGCTGGTATTAATTATTTTAAAAAGTAACTGTGATTTATAAAAACGAATACAGAACATTTCAAAATGAAACCACAATTTACATTTATATATTCTGAAATGTATTTTACAAACTTAGCTCATAATTACCGGAAATTTACTTGTATATTCCTAAACTGGGATTTACGTGGTTTTGTTTCAGTTTTATTACATATTACTACAACTGACCACTAGATGGCAGAAACGTTTAATTTGAAATGAAACACGTACGTAATACGTAATTGAAACATTTTTTTCATGTCTCGTTGCCGTTATAAAACTGTAAGACACAATAACACACCAGGACAAATTCTGTTTCACCATAATTTTGTGTGTCATTGCATATTTATAAATTATTTTCACCCCTGTCCCTATGCTGAATGGATGCTTAGAAACTTCCAATGTTGTAAAACACGATAATATAAAAAATAATTTAAAAGTATAATCTAATATGATTTTGAAAATGATTAAACAGGATTGTGAGCACAGATCTGGGGGTTTAATCTCAAGCGGCAGTGTCTGCATGTTCTCCCTGCCTCTTGTGAGTTTCTAGATTCTCCCTGCCAGGGGAATACGTGTGACTAGGATCGTCCCCATGCCCTCTGCTAGGCCGCAGGATCACCGCCACCTTGTACTGGATAAAGATTCTGAAACTGTAGAAATGTCAATCAAATCAGGTAAAACGGAGAGCATTTTGGGGCAGCCGACTGAAATATGTGATACTCTTACGATACTCTTACACGCTACTTACTCCAGGCTCAGATCAGCTTCTCCCGCCGGACCCGTCACAATAGCAAAGCAAACGGAACCAAACAGGAAGTCCAGATGGCATCCGGCACAGCCCGTGGGCCGTCTGGGTCGGGCCTCGCCGAGTCCCGGGGTGAGCTGGCAGCATCTCTGGTTCCCATGGTGACGTGTATAAACAACATCCTGACGCTCGCCGGCATATTAGGAGATGTGGCGGTTTGGACTATTCATATGTGCCTACAGGGAAAAGAGCCAGACATTCCAGCCAATGAGTGACAGAGCTGCTGGTGAAGATCAGCCCTCACATGACCTGCATTTGGAATATTATCGAAATGAATCGTACCGCCCCTCTTACAGTGATCTCCTCTCGGCACTGTGCTGGCGTGTCACGTCATGGTCAGCCTGGTACAGTGTGGGTACTTGCTGTGTCATGCATGCAGTGCTTGGGCTGGCTTCAGAACCCACCACTACTCCATGTGTGTAGAGTTTCCCCTGAGTCATGTGGGTCTGTCTCGCCCCTTGTGATCTGAGGACGTGCGGTCAGGCTGATTGGTGTCTCTGCATTGGCAATAGACCGTGGGCGTGTCGGTACCCTGAAGTGGACTGGTATCCCATCTAGGGTGTGCCCCCCCGCCCCTCCCCTCATGATTCTGACCAGGATAATTCCTCAGAAGATGGATGCTACTTGGCGATTTGTTGACCCTGCACAGTGAAGTCAGACCCTGGAGAGAATGTCAAGCACTCATCAGAAGTGCTGAGCTGGTGGCACCATAACTTACCCATGAGACGAATAAAGAGCACAATAGCAGCCCCCGGTCACGTGACCTGCCAGCTGCCTCGGTGTATTTCGGTCCCGGACGTGTCCCACAGACAAAGGAATCTGGAGCACTTGCCATCTTGGGCCACAGAGAATCCACAGGTTCACAATTAATAACAGCCCCAGCTACAGCGCTAATTATAACACGCTTTCTCATACACCGAATCCTTGGATATTCGTAATGACTAGCAGTAATTACTGAAAAAAGAGCTCAGATGTGTTTGATAGTTCCGCCATTCCTTGAAGAATGCCCGCAAGGGACAGACACACTCAAACAATATGCTGGACTCGTACCCTATTCACATCTCCCCAGTCATTCTGCAAACATTTTGTGTGCCTTTCATCCCATCCTCACCCCAGTCCTTACATCTTGATCGACATGGGGCAGGTGTCTGGTAACTCCAATCTATATATATCCAGGTCAGTGCAGTGAATGAGCTCTAATCTTCCACTGCAGAGGGGGAATTTTCCCTCTGCACTTTCTAGCTCATCAGCAAACACCAGCATCTACTGGTTATCTTTTAATCTCTTATCCGGTTTGGATGCCGTCTTCTTCGTTCCAGGGGCATATATACTACAGGGTTGCTTTCCCGGCTGGAAAAGTCAGTGAATTATTCATTGTTATTGCAGAAAACAGAGAGAATGTTTGGGCCAGACCCTGCTTAACAGGCATTCAGTTTGTCCTGGGAAACCGTTTGGGTGGAAGGGACAGGCGCAAATGCTAAGCTGTTAGTTAACAAGCAGAGGAAAACAAACCATTCCTGAGCATCACGCTCGTCGTTTAAAGCGATTTGAAGTGAGAATGCTACTGTAAATACAGCAGGAACAGGAGCGAGATTCAGAGAGGGAGCCGTTCCTACTGGCAGGAACAGCCCTGCAACTGATAAGCCGATGGTGACTCCCAGCTGGGAAACAATAACCAGCAACAAACTGAAAGTGCAGAGGAAACGTCTGGGCAGGGACAGGAAGCCCCCCTCCCCCCCCGCTGCGTCCCTGCATGGGCAGCCCTCCGTCTCCCCCTGCCAGGCTGTGTATCGGCCCGTCATGTCCCGTGTGTATGGTGTGTTGTTTACATTTCTCTTTGATCCCCTCGCTTGACTCCCAGTCCTGGTGTTTTTGGTTGAACGGCGGATATTTCTGCACAAATTCCCGCTTGGCCGGTATTTGTTCTCGAATGGTTCCTAAAATAGGAGTTAAAGGACAACAGCCCCCAGAGACACTCTGACGTTCCTGCAAAGTGCAGGCTGAGCTGGATCCTGTGACTGAAATAGATCACGTCTTCACTGTAGCCAATCTATTTGTTTCTCTTGAGGCCTGATACTTGCTGACTGTATTCAGCAATGCACAACGTGATGACATCATTTAATCAAATCTTTTTCTACTTCATTTCTCCAAACATTATAACTAAGCCTAGATCCTTTAATACTTTCACCAAGTCAAGCTGTATAACTTTTGAATATTTGTACCACTTGTGTGTTATAAGTCCCTACATTTGTCTTATTTTCATATAATAGTTAATAGATGTGCATATTCACAGCTCATTTTAGGCTTGAAGTTTCCATTCATTTTCTGAAACCACTTGTCCTCTTCAGGGTTGTAGGGCGGGTCTGGAGCCTATCAGGAGGCTACAGAAGCAAGACAGGGCACAGGCCAGGGTGGGGCGCGAACCCATCGCAGGGCACACTCACATGCTCAAGCACCTATGGGGAATTCAGTAACTCCAATTAACTTCAGCATGTTCTTGGACTGTAAGGGAAACTGGAGAACCCAGAGGAAACCCCACAATGACACGGGGAGAACATGCAAACTCCACATGCACAGAACCCTGGCAGGGACTCAAACCCGGGTACCAGAGGTGTGACAACAGTGCCAACCACTGCGCCACATCTTGGACAGGATGGCAGGGCATGCAGTTATATTTTTGATTGGTATGATTAAGATTCATTTACAGTATCTTTATTTATAGTATTTGGGTCTCAATTAAATTTGGACTATGCTGTTTGGGTTCCGTCTTAATAAAACGTAAATACATATCAAACATAATCCAGGGACGGATTACAGACCGGGCCAGATGCGGACGTTTTGCCCAGGGGCCCACACAACCCATAATCCGTCCCTGACATAATCCGATGTTACCGTACTTACTGCTGCATTCTGCCAAACGGCAGTGGGTTTAATGACATTCTCCACTGAATCGGTATGAACAGCAAACACAGGCAATGGGCTGCAGCCTGCCTCGTGAAAACAAATACTCAGAAGGCATCTTTTTCTCTGCTGACGCGTTATTGTGAGCGGGGCGAGGGAGCGCAGGGGAGCGCCGCCCCACTGCCCGCCGGCTCCGGTTACACGCAGGACCCCGTCCAGTCCGTCACTGCGGCCTAATCATACCTTGGGGAGTTACTGTCAAGGTAGCCTACTGCTGGCACTTCGGCAGAGAATAGAAAATACGTCTTAAAATAACCTGCCGTTATTTTGTTGATATCCTGTACATGCGCCTTATTTAAGGTGCAGTCTAATGTCATGCGCTCGGGTAATTTCCCGGCTGTATCTCTCACTAAGAAGCAAGCTTTTAACGCTTTTTAAAAGCTTTTAAAAATGAATTTCCGTGCATTTTAATATTTTATTTCGATGGCGAACTCAACAGCAGCATTCAAAAAGTGCTTAATATTATTAATATATTTGTAATAGTATTATACAAATATAATTTATATTTTGCTTTGACACCCACAGTGCTCATCCGCCTTAGTCTTAATGTGGAAGTTTAACCCAAGACTGCGAGCAAGCTGAACGCCACAAACCGAGGAATAGGACGTGTGTGGGGGTGAGGCTCCCTAACTGGCACCTGGTGGTCTTAGGGTCGATTCCCGGTGCAGCTCCAGCACCCCCAGCTGCCCGTGCCTCTCAAACACGTTTATAAATAAACACGAGGAGGGCTGAAGCTCTCGGTCATCTTGTGTAAATCTTTTTTGACCGAAATCTACTGAATTTCCCGTAATATTTGAACAGCAGAGGCGTCGCTTTTTTTGGGGGGGAGGGCGAATTAGTTCCCCGTAGAATGTTTTTTAGCCCCCCCCCCCCCACACTCCTATTGGACTGTAACGTAAATTCATGTTATACATTATAATATATACTACATATTTATGTAGGCCTAGTGCATATTTAATATGTTACATATATTAATTGAGGCTAGTTATAACTGTTACGGTATTTCACCTACGATCTACAAATGAAATAAATATATGCGTCACTTACAAATACTAACCTCTGACAACATCAGCTAACAATTAAGAAGTCGCCCTAAGACAAATATTGTGAAACTGGAAACTTGTGGAGCGCTGGTAAGATCATACAAGATCCAAAGTCTGCGCCTTAATCTAGAGGCGGCAGAGACAGAGATAGACCTTTGCATCGTGCTTCATCATCACGGCTCTGATCGACATGCCTCTCCTGCTCCTCCCTCACTCTGTTACAGAGGGTCAGCCGGGGGGGAAGAAGCAGCATTAAGAATATTCTCAATGAACAGCAATAACCCAGCGGGCTGCTGCCTCCGGAGAGCACAGGGCGGACTCCTTTTTCGCTGCGCCTATCAACTTTCATACAAGATTTGAGAGACTGTTAAGTTGAAAGCAATTACCAGCTGGACTAAAAGCTTAGCGTTACTTTTAGTTAACGGGAAACAGGGCTCCCCATACTAAGAGAGAGCGATGTCCTGGATGTGAGGTCGGTTCCTCTTGTAATTTCCGTATATAGCTATTTCGTATAATAAAAGTGGGAGATGGCGACGTTTCACGTGGAGCCGGACAGCAAGCCCTGTTGAAAACTGCGCCATGCTTCATTTTCACACTTTTTCCTGCTTAATCATGTCTGAACTGAAGTGAAACTTAACTAACGGTGTAATTTTGGATTTCGGCAAGCAATCGGCACATTTTCAGTTTCTGTTCACATTTCACCCGAAGCGCCGGGAAAATGACTTCAGTCTGGAAGAGGCTGCAGCGCGTCGGCAAGAAGGCGTCAAAGTTTCAGTTCGTGGCGTCTTACCAGGAGCTGGTGGTCGAGTGCACCAAGAAGTGGTGAGTGACCCTAACCCTACCGCGAGCTGTCAGTCAGAGTGCACCAGTAAGTGGTGAGTGACCCTAACCCTACCGCGAGCTGTCAGTCAGAGTGCACCAGTAAGTGGTGAGTGACCCTAACCCTACCGCGAGCTGTCAGTCAGAGTGCACCAAGAAGTGGTGAGTGACCCTAACCCTACCGCGAGCTGTCAGTCAGAGTGCACCAGTAAGTGGTGACTGACCCTAACCCTACTGCTAGCTGCCAGTCAGAGTGCACCAGTAAGTGGTGAGTGACCCTAACCCTACTGCTAGCTGCCGGTGAGGGTGCACCAGTAAGTGGCCGCAGAAACCTAACTCCCAGTGCACGAAGAAGCTGGCAGGTCGGCAAAGCCATGTATGAAATGTCCCTCACGCAAAATGCATTAAGTCTCATTTGAGAAACGGGGCTTTTTGATATGGGACAGTGTGACTGGTTGTTTATGTGTCGCTGCTGTGGCATTTTCATATTGTACGTGCGAGTACAGCAGCACTCATGCACAAGCTGCAGGAAACTCCGGGTATAAATACGCATAGACTGCGGCTGATGCAGGAACTTCTGCTGTCAGAACTTATCAGCAAATCAGCGCTGCCTTATTATCGTCAACAACAACAAAAACAACAATAATAATAATAATGTAAAATTGTTGTTGTTGTAGTACTGGTGGTACGCTTAAAGTAAATTTCACACCAGAACACAAACTTAGCAGTAACAATAGTCATGACTAATACTTATGGAGCTACTTTTTAACAGACTGTCAAAGTTAAAACATGACATTGAATCACTATCACGTGAGGATGACGATTGTTACTTATACTAATGTCATGCGCACTAGCTGTATTCTTCCTGTATTACACTCTGTATTACTCTGTGTCCGTATCTTTGTACGTATCTCTCCTAATGCTCTCCCTCTCTCAGTGGATCGGTACAGTTTTATTTGGTTTGTACCCCATTGATCTGTGTGTAACTTTGCTCTTCTGTTGGTCTTCGTTCCACTTGGCAAAGCTGATGGTTGGTGTTACTGACATGGTTAGGAAGAGAATGATAGATGTATTTCAGGCTGGGAGGCCTGGTTAGGAAAGGCTCTAATTATGGAAACGTCGGGGGAGACCTGTGCTTTTTCAATATACAGACTTCTGAGCAGATTTATCAGGGGCTCACGGTTCCCATGTGACAAACTGTCAGTTCAGATTCTGCCCACGGATTCATTCACGCGGGTTGCCAGCACATGCAGACACACACTCAGGGCAGATTACGGTCACTGGTTCACCAAATCCGCATTCCTGTAGAATGCGAGAGGATGCTGGAGCAGCGAAATGAAAGCAGCACCAGCATGAGGAGATTGTGGAATGTCCACGGCTCACAGTATGGGTGACAGCGCGCTAACTGCTTAGCCTCAAGGCCATCCTTCTAGGCAAACGTTACGTCTGTCCAATAATACATGTCAATAAAATGGATGCAGAACACACCACCCATCTGCCGCCTAAACGCTTATTCAGGGGGGTCTGGAGCTTATCCCAGGCACCCTGAAGGACAAGGCAGGGGACGCCCTGGACAGGATGCCGGTCCATCACAGGGCATGAGGCAGGGGGACACCCTGGATAGGCCTGCAGTCTGAACGCAAATGCCGAGAGCGAGCGGGGCAGGCCTGCAGTCTGAACATGAATGGCGGGAGCGAGCGGGGCAGGCCTACAGTCTGAACGTGAATGCCGGGAGCGAGCAGGGCAGGCCTGCAGTCTGAACGTGAATGCTGGGAGCGAGCGGGGCAGGCCTACAGTCTGAACGTGAATGCCGGGAGCGAGCAGGGCAGGCCTGCAGTCTGAACGTGAATGCCGGGAGCGAGCGGGGCAGGCCTGCAACCTGGGGCAGGTTGGCCGCATTCGGGTGACTCTTCTGGTTGATTGCACTTTACGGGGGACCTAATACTATGGCCAGCACCCCCAGTCTATTTTGGTGTGCCCTGTCTGTCCCTTTACCACAGCCCACGTGCCCATCAGCACTGCTTCCATTACTGACCTGTAATGTGAGAGACGGTGGACCAAACAGCCAATGGTGTCACTCCTCTGGAGTCCCTCCCCTCTGCAGCTGTTAGTCAGTTTGGGGCAGCAACTGAGATCATGGGTTTGTAAACAGAAGGTTGTGGTTTTCAGTCCTGGAGGGCAGTGCTCAAAAAGCACCTGAGGCAATTTTCACCAGTGTAGCATCCCACTGTTAAAATGGGCAGTACAGATAATCAAGAAATAATGTTTTGCTTTGAGTAAAAATGAGTCATTTTGATACTGGTAAGGTGCTCTGACATATAAGGGCTCTTGGGTCCTCTGGGGAAATCTCAGAATGGAGGAGTTGTACGGGAAACGTTAACAACTTTCCGGAAACAGAGACCTGATGGTTGTAAGCAGAACTAAAACAAAAAAACCACAGTTGATGTCACATGACCGAGCTCCACTTCCTGTTTCTCACTGGGGCGTAGAGATTAACCCTGCCAGAGTTACTCGCTTTTTAAGACAAGCATGTTGCATTTTAGTTTCTCTTATATGCAGAATCCTTTATTATAGAGCAGCCGTGTCCCTCGTCTTCCAGATCTTTGAACACAGGGAAGATGTAGGTGGCATTTAGGAACACTGACATATTTCAGAGAGCTCAGATAAAACATTGGAATACTCAGAAACGAAAGCAATTGAAATATGACACTAATTTGTGTGAGCAGTCTGATATTATAGTACTATTAAATAGTAATGTTACTATTTCCTGTGGGCCTGCTAAAGCATGCTGCAGCTGTGTGTTAGCTGGTTTGAAAAGCAGTTCAGTTAATAATGACAGTGGGACCTTAAAGGAAAAAGACAGCAGTTCCAGAACGGAGGCCCGGTGTTTGTCTCTCCAGCTTTCCCATTTCCCTCCACTCGACCCCTTTGCCTCTCCAGCTTTCCCATTTCCCTCCACTCGACCCCTTAGTCTCTCCAGCTTTCCCATTTCCCTCCACTCGACCCCTTTGCCTCTCCAGTTTTCCCATTTCCCTCCACTCGACCCCTTTGCCTCTCCAGCTTTCCCATTTCCCTCCACTCGACCCCTTTGCCTCTCTAGCTTTCCCATTTCCCTCCACTCGACCCCTTTGCCTCTCTAGCTTTCCCATTTCCCTCCACTCGACTCCTTTGCCTCTCCAGTTTTCCCATTTCCCTCCACTCGACCCCTTTGCCTCTCCAGTTTTCCCATTTCCCTCCACTCGACCCCTTTGCCTGTCCAGTTTTCCCATTTCCCTCCACTCGACCAGTTGATTCCTTGTCGCTTTGCCGCAGCTGCTTCTGGTTTAAAGTGGAGGCTGATCTCACTTGTTTACACGACCCCACCGATGAGGTATGAAGCCTTGTGCTGCCAGCCTGTTGCTGGGGAAACAGGAAACAGGAAGTGATGCAGTTCTGGGATTCCGGCCTTGTTGCTGCTGTCTGGATTAGGAGCCTCTGTGTTTCCCAGGCTGTGCATTACACTCTTACCTCCCGACACAAACGCTGTGTCACGTGTGTCCGCTCGGGGTCGGCGCCCCCTGTAGGCCCACGGAGAAACGGGCGGGGTGACACTCGGTTGTGTCAGTGGCGTTGTCGTCCATGTCAGGGTGTGTGTGGTATATAGAGGAAGGGCGTCGCCCATATTCTGCGGCAGTGAGACACGGCTGCTCTGTGGTCTGTCTGCATGTGTCATCGTCTGCCGGCCTGAGACACCTGCCCTCCTGTATTATTAGCTACTTGGAGCCACTGACACCCGTGATGGGGAGCATGTGAAGCTGAGAAGACCACTGAATATAATCCGGGGACATTTCAGCACGATAGCTTTGCTCCAGTAACTCCTAACGGCGCAAGTCACTAGCCAGAGCTGGGAATTCGAAGGTGAAAGGTCAGAGACGAAAGGTTGAAGGTGAAAGGTCAGAAGGACCACAGGGGTCTGATGGCTGAAGGCAAGGTGATTGAGCAAGGGGACTCTATACACCCAGGTCTATGATCAGGAGAAGGTTGGCACCAGAACTTCTGAGCATCTCCTGCTGGTTGTTAGGCCCAGTGGGTTATTTGTGACGGGACGTATCGTATGCTAGCTTTCTGTTGGCCTCCTTTCCTGTTATTTTGCAGGAAGCTTCTCCAGAATTGTCTTACTATGCTTCTCAAAGGCCCACCAACATTTCTGGAACGCTTAAAGCACGCTCTCCAGTTGTCGTGTCAGCAGTGCTACTGTTGTTCCACCCAAAGCCGGGTTTAGCCGCAATTCACGTGGTTAAACAGAAGCTTCCGATGTCAGTGCTGTCCTCCCCTCGTGAGCCCAGCTTCCTTAGCTGCAGTCTGGTCTCTGGCTCCTTCTTTGTCTTGTAATAACGCCTTTGTTTCTGTTCTGCAGGCAGCCGGACAAGCTGAGGGTGGTGTGGACCAGGAGAAACAGACGCATCTGTTCAAAGGTAACAACACTGATACAGCTTTTAAACACGGGTAGTAATTATTGTGGCTTGTAATTACACATGAACGCGAACCCACCCATCTCAGGATAGTGTGTCACAGGCTAGGAGGCCGTGCTTGTGTCCGGAAGGTCATCAGTTTGAATCCAGTGGCTGGCAGAATGATCACATCACTACTAAGTGCTTGAGCAAGGTCCTTAACTGCAAAAAACTGCTTCTTGGATTCTGGAAAAATATCTTGCACAAGAGAGCAAGATGGGAGTCTGGACAAGCAGAGGAATTCCTGTGTATTTAGACTTGTACAAATGGCAGATAAAGTGTCATTATCCAGTAAAACGTTGTAGGGCACATAAATACAGATGTGCTGGAAATGATACTGTAGACCAGCCAGCAGCTCTGGTGTAATGTGTTACTTACAGGCCGTCAGAGTGGTTTTAGTGCACAGGGCACTGGCATAGTGCTGAGTATGTATGATGGACATTCAGAGCGTCATAGCTTCACCCTCAGCAGGCGTCTTCCTCAGCCACCCTTCTGACCTTCTGCCTGTCTGACCTTCTGGTTCTCTGACCTTCCGGCTGTCTGACCTTCTGCCTGTCTGACCTTCTGCCTGTCTGACCTTCTACCTGTCTGACCTTCTGGTTCTCTGACCTTCCGGCTGTCTGACCTTCTACCTGTCTGACCTTCTGCCTGTCTGACCTTCTACCTGTCTGACCTTCCGGCTGTCTGACCTTCTGGTTCTCTGACCTTCTGCCTGTCTGACCTTCTGCCTGACTTACCTTCTGCCTCTTACCTTCTGCCTGTCTGACCTTCTGCCTGATTGACCTTCTGCCTGTCTGACCTTCTGCCTGTCTGACCTTCCGGCTCTCTGACCTGATCATCCCTCTTCAGCTCCATGGATGGCAGCCTGGCATTAAGAACCCCTACAGGGGCATGGTGGTGTGGCCCGTTCCGGAAAACGTGGATATCACAGTCACGCTCTTCAAGGTATGACATCTCGCCGGGTTGAGGTGTGGGATGGTAGGCCTGTGCTGGATCTGCATGTCTGTCACTAAGCGTGGGCAAGATCCTCCTACATGACATACATAACTAAGCTATAATTGCTGAAGATGGTCAAGGTTAGCGGATAGATGTGCCAGTTGAGGTTATTCCCAGAAAAGATGGGTCTTAGGCTGTGTCTAGACCTAGACTGAGTCTGCATGTCTGTGATTAGACCTGATGAGGTTTGTAGGCCTTGAGGTTTGGTACAGCCAAGCATTTTCTGAAGAGCAGCCTGCACTGAGCACTGTACGTCTTATAAGACTTATAACATTTACCATTTAAGGACTACAGTGCACTTTCTCACTGATAAAAAGATGTCCTGGGGGTTCAGGACACATGACAAGATCATCAGAACTGAATAACAGCAGAGCATTATTCACAGACATGTATACGGTTGCCTGTGGTTATTATGGACCAGATTAGCTTTAAATGGGTCTTCTTGCTGCTTAATGACTGGTTCTGGATGCTTCTCTAGGACCCCCACGCTGATCAGTTTGAAGACAAGGCCTGGACATTCGTCATCGAGAACGTGAGTGTCCATCTTTTATTTCTGGTACTTTCTGTGTTCAGAAGCTTGTCACAGTCTGATGGACCAGTATATGGCTGAGGTCACTTTCCAGTTTCCAGGTCACCTCCAGTACTTAATGACACCATTTATTAGAAAATAATCAAAAATTTGATTGCAAAATTATTATGGACATGGGGTGAATTACTCAGCCTGTCAGCCACTTTGACATGGAGCGGCACGGCTGGCGTTCGGCATGTGCCCCACCATCGCTAACGCATGGCCCATGACCGCCCATCTTAGGAGACGAAGGGCCACCGCAAGGTGCTGGCATCGGTGGACGTGAACATGAAGGAGTTTGCGAGCCCCACACTCACCCAGACAGACCTGACGCTAAAGCTGAAGCCGCTGTCGGTGAAGGTGGTGGAGGCCACGCTGAAGCTGTCCCTGTCCTGTGTGTTCCTGCGCGAGGGCAAGGCTACGTGAGTGACCAGGGCGCCCCCAGCAGGCGCAGTACACCCTTCAGATATGCCACCATGGTTGCATTTGCCAACTAAAAGTTATTAGAAATAGAGAAATAGAGAACGGCTATAATCACAATGCGTGTGCCTGCAGTGTTCCTGGTGTGTGCCTGGCGTGTGCCTGGTGTGTGCCTGCAGTGTTCCTGGCGTGTGCCTGCAGTGTTCCTGGCATATGCCTGGTGTGTGACTGCAGTGTTCCTGGCGTGTGCCTGCAGTGTTCCTGGCGTGTGCCAGGTGTGTGCCTGCTGTGTGCCCCGTTCATGTGTGAGTGTAAAGTTTGTGTCGGAAAAACGACACAAGCCAGTAAAAATGGCACTGTCCCTCAGGGACGAGGACATGCAGAGCCTGGCCAGCCTGATGAGCGTGAAGCCCACAGACATTGGGAACCTGGATGATTTCAATGAGAGCGACGAGGAGGAGGACAGGAAGCCTGGAGCCGGGGTGGGCACGGCCACTCCGCCGGCAGGTACGCACTGCGACGACACCTCCCTCAAACCACCACCCTACCGGGCCGGTTGGCTTTTTATGTCTTTGTGTCTCTTTTGTGGTTCTTCCAGTTCCTGTGCTCGCTTGGTCTCTGGCTGCCCCGTCTTCCCTCCTCCTGTCTGCATGCCATCTTCTTCTCTTTTATCCTCCTCTCCAGCTCCTCTACCCCCGGCTAGACGATCTCGAGAGCAGGAGTCAAGACCTCCGGGTATGATGGACCCGTCCCTGATAGGTACTCTCTCCTTCACCCACACGCCCCTCTTTTGGTCTAAACTTTGCCGTCATTTTACAGCCCCTGTCCCTCAGCCTGACCTAATGGGGGTGTTTGTTTGTGATGATTAGGGTGCCGTCCCTCTGTGAGCTATGAGTGCTGAGATGTGATGCATTAACCTTTAATGTAAGTGATAAATACAGTGATCGCTACTTGGTTGAAGATGAAGATGACGTTGTGCTGAATCACATTGTCTGCATGCATTAATCCTTGATTCGATCTTGGCTGCCACGGTAACCTCACACTCCCAGGGTTGCTGGTTCGAGGTGCTCCCTCTGTTCTGTATGAGTGTGTGTGTGTGTGAGTCTGTGTGTGTGTATACCTGTGTTTCCTTGGGGTTCCTGCAGGTATTCTGCTTTACTCCCCAAGGCCAGAGGCACAGAGTCAGACAGACTGGTGCCTCTCCTGTGGCCTCATAGCTCCAGCGTTTGAGGCTCGAGTCCCGCCTCTGCTCTCTGTGCCTCACTTCCTGTGTTGTGTTGTGTTGGTTATAGGGATGTAACGATACACTCAACTCACGATTCGATACGATTCACGATTCTGAGTTCACGATTCTGGGTTCACGATACGATTTTCTCACGAAAGACAAATTTGCCGCAGGCAAATTTATAAAAAAAATATTCCATTATTTATCTTTCTAAACTGTGCAACTGAAATTGAATAAAATACTGTTTTAAAAAAAAATCCCAGATCAAAATAATAATAAAAAATCTTCAAATAAATGGTAACGCTTTACATTAACTGCACCTTCAAAATGCTTTTATATTACATGCATAAAACGTTCAGTACACCTTCATAATGTATTCATTAAGTATTCAGAAATCATTCATAAACATCATGCATGTAGGCCTATACCTTTACATCCTAACATCCCTTAACAGCTGTAATATACATTAATAACAAACATTATATGATAATAACAAACATTATAATTGCATAATCATTTAATGTTTGTTATTATGACGTCGAACTGATGTTGTGAAATGAAATGTAATATTACACCAGTTTTTCTGTTAAGTACCGTGAAGTACTCCTAAAGTAGCGATTCATTTTAAATCGTCATACATTTACACTGATTTCTAACCGATTCGTGGTTCATCGTTACATGCCTAGTTCGTTACCTCCTGCATTTTAAAAGAAGATGCAGTCAGGTGTCTAATTGGTGTCTCTCGGTTGGCCCATAATGAGTGTGTGTGTGGATTAGGTATTCTCTTACATTGTGGGGACCAAATTTAATGTTGTGGGGGCATTTGTCAGGTCCCCAGAAAGATCTGTGAATGCAGTCAAAAAACTAAAAATGTCGAAAGTCTCGTAGGGCTGGGTAGGGGTTAAGGTCATCATGATGGGATTCCCTATAAAAATGATATCATTACAAAGATATATTTACAAACCTGAGTGTGTGTGTGTATGTGTGTGTTAGTGTGTGTTGATACTGACTACTCTAATTATAGCACTTAGCTGGGCTTTGAAGATGGATAGATTTAGCTACAGTATCTATGAGATACACTTCTCTTTTCTTGTTAGCCGGCTCTGCATCTTTACTTTATTTGTTGTCCTTCTGCCTTTCCGTCTCTGTCCTTTCTCTTTTCTTTTCTGTCTTTTTAACACCCTTCCCTCTGCCTTCATGTCCTTTCTCTATTTCCTCATCCTGCTCCCTCTCTCCTCCTCCTTCTCTGCCTCCTCTTAGCCCCTCACTCATCTCCTGGGCAGAAGGATCAGCCCGGCATTGAAATTGGCCCCTTGCTGGCCGGCTCGGTGCCTAATTGCTCGCTTCAGTCAAGACCCCCCCTGCCCAGGCCCCCAAATCCGGCCCCCCCACCCATCCCAGCTGCCCGCACGCGACACACCCATGTGGCTGCCGCTGCCCAGCAGCCAGCACGCCTTCACCCCCCCGCCGGGGTAGTACGCGCCCACCCTCCAGCTCTGCCCAGAATCTTCCAGTCATCAGCTGGCTCAGGTACTGACAAGGGGACCGACATGCCCTGACATGGCCGATATATCCTGATATATCCTGACATGCCCTGACATGGCCGATATATCCTGATATATCCTGACATATCCTGACACGGCCGATATATCCTGACATGCCCTGACATGGCTGATATATCCTGATATATCCTGCCATTTATTGACATGCTCCACAGTTTTATCATTGTCATCTACCTTATTGCATCTGAAAAGCAGCTTTCCTTATTGGCTTCTCTTCCATGAAAAATCCCCTTTTATTTTCCAAATTGCAAACCTTCACTTGAGGAATTTCCAAACTGTAACAGAGAATACTTTGATTTACAGCTCTAACCCTGACTTTCTAAATGCGCTTAGTCGTGAAGCTTGTTTATATCTGGTTTTAACGGTAAATATACTATCCTTCCTTTTCTCCCCCCCTCAAAACTCTTCTCCTACCCTATTCCTGCTTCTATTCTTTTCCTCCTGCTCTTCTCCTCCTGCCCCTCTCTTCCTGCCCCTCTTCTCATGCCTCTCTCTTCCTGTCCTTCTCTTGGCTGTCTCCTCCTCCTGCCCCTCTCTTCCTGCCCCTCTTCTCTTGCCTCTCTCTTCCTGCCCTACTCCTCCTGCCCCTCTCTTCCTGCCCCTCTTCTCTTGCCTCTCTCTTCCTGTCCTACTCCTCCTGCCCCTCTCTCCCTCCCGCTCTTCTCATCCTGCTTTTCTCCTTCTACTCTTCTTCTCCTGCTCTTACCCTCCTGCCCCTTCTTCTGGTTCTGTTCTTCTCCTCCTGCCCTTCTCCTCTTGCCCCTCTTCTCCTCCTGATCTCTTCCTCCTGGAATCCCTCTTCCCTTTCAGTGCCCATCACCTTTTCACGGGACCCCCCGGGGCCCCAGGACCACCCTGCTGTATATACGATGGCCCCCTCTGGCATGGTTATTCCTCAAACACCTGCACCCACTTCCTCTGAGCCTCCCTCCTCCTTTTCCCCCACCTCCACTTGTTCCCCAAGCCTCCAAGCTGGAGGTACAGGTAGGCCGCTCCCCAAGCTCGCTTCTGGCATGCCATTCTGCCGCCTGCCCTTCATTTCTGACCGCCTGCACTGCCTCCCCCACCCTTAGAGTCCATCCCAGCTACCCCTTCGAATGTCTGCAGGCCTAAACGCGCTATTGCCGCTGATGCAGCACCCACCCCTGTAGACCCCACTGCCCACAGCGCTCCCCAGCTCATGGAAGACCCGGCTTCCATCCCAGAGCCTGCGTCTGTCAGTGGCCCCCCCACAGTGACAGGTAGGCTGGGGCCAGGCTGCTGAGGCACAGCGGCATCATGGGAAGGAGGGCCTCCTACAAAGGAGAGCCTTTCTGCTGTATTGCAGCAAGTAGACCCAGCATAACCAGTTTGCCCTTTCGGGTTAATACTTCCCGTCTTGTTGATTTCCATTTTCTTTCTCTTCCTCTCTCTGTCTTCCCATCTCACTTCATATTTGCCGTACTTCAGTCTCTCTTCCACCTTTCACTTCTCCCTCTGTCCCCTCACACCCCCTGCTCTCAGCAGTGTCCCCAGCTGCCTGGCAGAATGACCCAAGGACGCCCGGACCCGGCACCGCCCCCCCGTCTGATCCCTCCCCATTCCCCGTCCCCCTGCAAAGCAAACCGAACCTGGAGGCCCTGTGTGACCCGGCCTTGACCCCATTCCTTTTGTCTACCCTGTCCCTCCCCTCGCCTCCCCCCGCTTTCTCTGACCCCCCTTCTGTCTTGTTGCCCAGCCTTCTTCCGGCGGTAGCCACAGAACTCGCCCCCTGCTCCGCCCCAGAGTCCTCCTCCTTCTCCACCCCAAAGCCCGCCCCCTGCTCCACCCCAGAGTCCTCCTCCTTCTCTGCCCCAGAGCCTGCTCCCTTCTCCACCCCAAAGCCCGTCCCCTGCTCCGCCCCAGAGTCCTCCTCCTTCCCTGCCCCAGAGTCCTCCTCCTTCACCGCCCCAGAGCCTGCTCCCTTCTCCACCCCAAAGCCCGCCCCCTGCTCCGCCCCAGAGTCCTCCTCCTTCTCCGCCCCAGAGCCTGCTCCCTTCTCCACCCCAAAGCCTGTCCCCTGCTCCGCCCCAGAGTCCTCCTCCTTCCCTGCCCCAGAGTCCTCCTCCTTTTCCACCCCAGAGTCCTCCTCCTTTTCCGCCCCAGAGTCCTCCGCCTTCCCCGCCCCAGAGTCCTCCTCCTTCTCCGCCCCAGAGTCCTCCTTCTTCACCGCCCCAGAGCCTGCTCCCATCTCCACCCCAAAGCCTGCCCCCTGCTCCGCCCTTTTCCCTGCTCTGCCAATTCACTCTGAGTCAGGTACATTTACGAAATGCATGCCAGTTTGTTTGTTTGTTTATATGAAAGATGCTACAGCACCTCTTGCTCTGCATGCAATGCCCTTCTGCTCTCTCTCTCATTCTTTCTTTCTCTCTCTCTCTCTCTCTCTACCCAGCATCCTTTTCTCTGTCTCTGCTAATGTGTCCCACCTCTGTCTCTTCCTCTGTATTCAAGCATCTGCCCTGCGGATCAGACTTAGCACTGTCCCCTCCTCCGTGCCCCCGCCTGCCCTCTCCCTTTTGACCAGCCTGCCTTCCCCCCAAGTCCCAGGTATGGAACGTGGATCATTGACCTCCCCGGCTTTCAGTGTGACAGCCAGAAGTGACCGGATTGCACATGTGTAGCAGTGCTGCACATTGGCCACTTGCACTTCTCCCTCTCTGCCTCCTTGCATAACTCATGGCCTCCTTCTCCCTCTCTGCCTCCTTGCATAACTCATGGCCCCCTTCTCACTCTCGCACTCTCTGCATAATTATCTCATTTTCACATCTTGTGCCTCATTTTCCGTGTTCCTTTCCCATTAAGACAGGGTTAAGGGTGCAATCCCCTGTAAGGGAATCCCTTATAATCTTGGACCCCACCCCCACCCCAGTCCTAGTATTTGTGTGCCTCCCCCCCCCCAGCAATAAACAGCAACCTGAAAAGAAGAAGAGCAACTGGCATTTATGTTGAAATGAAACTTAACACTTTCTGGACAAACAACACGGAGACATACCCTTAAAATGAAGACTCACCCTTGCCAGAAGTTGCATAAATACAGTAATGTACTTCGGGTGCCACTCAGGGGCGTCCTTGCGCCTATTTTAGGGGCTTTAGCTCTGTGGTCACTGGCCGTTTTGGTTTCTTTCAGAGAGTCACAGGCAGCTGAACACGCTGACTGAGGAGGGGGTCCCCTCACCTTTAACTGTCTGTGAGTAAACCCCGCTGTCTTTAACCTTCTGCCTTGCCTACATCCACCAGTCTTTGAATTGCTTATGCAGTGCAGGCGAGTGAGGAGGGGCCTGGATCCTATCCCGGGGGGGTGTAGAGGACACCCTAGGCGGGGGCCAGACCATCGCAGGGCTCACAGATACACGTACAAGTTGTGCTTTTGTGAGGGATATAAATTGTAATTAGAAATTCACATTTCTCTTCATTATACTTTGTCTGCCAAATTGCTGATGCTGATTTGTAACTTTGGTCACACTTTTCTTAAAGCTCTTGTCTATATTGCACTATAGATACCTTCATAATGCATTATAATGGTCATTGAATTAATAAAGCATCTTCTACTGACAGTCATAAGGCATTATAGTGTTGATTGTAAGATACTTCATAAGCTCCAGTGAAGCTTTCATCTATAATGCACTATAGATACTTTCATAATGCATTATAATGGTCGGTATAAGCATTAAGGATGCTTTGTACTAAATTATAAAGGTATCTATAGTGCATCATAAAGCATTCATAAACTTATAGTAAGTGTTACCATAACTTTTAATAATCTTTTAGATAGAACACATTCAGGTACATATTGTTGCTAATGCTGTCCAAAATAATGAAAGTAAAGCATGTGCAGGTCACACACGAGGATAGTGTGTGGATGTGCCGCCTGATTGGTCTGTGGATGTGCCGCCTGATTGGTCTGTGGATGCAGCGCCTGATTGGTCTGATTCCATCTCCCTGGAAACACAGGCCCAACGGTCCTGGAGGAGCCGACTTCCCCCATGAAAACAACACCCAAGCCCCTGAACATCAGCCGGAAGGAAGACACCCCACGCTCCTCTCGCAGTGCCGGGAGTATCAGCATCGCCAATCAGATTCTGGCCCCCGCTACTCTCAGTCCAGCACCGGTTACTATGGGAACAGCCAGGTGGGTTTTGGGATCAGATTACATGGTTTGCTTCCTCTTGGGTGTTGGGTCTCAATATGTGTAGTTGACCAACGTTGTGTCCCTGTGTTGATCCCGTGTTGTTCCCATGTTCCCGTGTTGTTCCCATGTTCTCGTTTTACATTATCTTCCCCCCTCCGAATATCAAGGATATATCGGTTGCATCCTTGCCAAACAAGACCAATCCCATGATTAGTCTTTTTCCCAAGTTTGCTCTTGGTTGGCAAGTTAGCAAGACCGTTCCTGCCAGGACCACAAGTACGATCTTTGCGTTCTTGGTATTGAGAAACACCCCTTGGCTTTGGCCTCATTGCTGTGCAGTGGTAGGAAAATTAGGTAGCAATGAGAGGGATGCTAAATGAAGTAGCTTCTTAATTGCTTAAATTTTCTTCCTGGTTGAGCTAAAAAATGGATTTGGAGCCATAGTCCCAGTCGTGCTGTGGTGTGTTTCCACATGGCTCCCGGAGAAGCAGGGCCGGACGTGGTGTGTTTCCACGTGGCTCCCAGAGAAGTAGGGCCTGTCGTGGTGTGTTTCCACGTGGCTCCCGGAGAACAGGGCCTGACGTGGTGTGTTTCCACATGGCTCCCGGAGAAGCAGGGCCTGTCGTGGTGTGTTTCCACATGGCTCCCGTGTCATCGCACTTTTTAAATAGGTGCTCTGCATAAGCTGTTAAGGAACATTAGCCTCGGGTGTGGGGAGTTCCGCGGCCCTCTGTAAATGCTGCACTGCCCTGCAAAGCTGCTTTGCAGCAGAATGTGCTGTGAGCTTGGGTTCCACTTCGCATCGATACCGAAAGAAAGCTCAGATTTACCGCAGATACCCGTCTCAGCCGCATCTTTGTTAGTGTAAGTTAGCGGTTTGGTTGGAGTGCTTGTCTGGAGCTGAACCGCAGTGTGTGTGTGAGGGAAAGCGTCAAGGCTGAGCTCCGTGTCACATGCATGAGCGTTAGCCACTTCCCAGAGGTCCCAGCCGTATTAAACCCGCTACAGCTGTCATGGCTTGCTATTTTTATATGACTAATTTCTGTCTTGTGAGACGGGGCAGAGTCCTTCTTCATCAGTTTTTGCTTTGACTGTGAAAGTTCTGCGCTAGTGTTGGTCTTTTTCTGCCTTAAGTCTGGATCCTGATCTGAGTTTCTTCTGTCCCTCAGTCCTGAAAGTCTGGCCAGTCTTCCTCCTTCTTACTCAGCAGTAGCCAGAGATCCTGACTCTTTCTCCGGGTGGGATGAGACTGTTGTAGAAGAGAAGTTGGTAGAAACTCTTCCTCCCCCCTGGCCCTTCTTCTCCTCGGAGCCCCAGGCAGAGGAATCATACACTCCCACCCAAGAACTTCCCGCCAAAATCAATGAACTTCTTGTGGAGGAAAAACCTCCTTCAGTCGAGGGAGAAACTAGTTGTCGGGTGACGACTGAGAATGAGCCAACCATCTTTCCTCCTGGCACGTCTCGACCATCTCAAGAAGAGGCAGCAGAGGCAGAAAAGCTACCCCTGGCTGAACTAGAGCCCAACCTTGAGGAGACCTCTGTCCAGGTGCCCCATCTCTCAGCTCAACAACCAGCCACAGCTGTAATAGTCCCAGACAGCTTGTGTTTAGAGGTGAAAACCAGTGTGAAAGAAGAATCAAGCTTGGTGCCTAAAACTGAAGCGTCACAGGAGCCCAGTGAGGGAGCCCTAGGCGGGGGGTAAGTGTGCAGCTTCCCTCAGCTTAGCCTGGCCTAGCTGCAGAAACAGCTCTGTTTTGGGGGTATATTTAACACAAGAAGCATTGCCTTTACGGATTTTTGTAAAGCAAGTGATTTTTTTTTCTTTTTACCCATGGGCCATTGCTTGAAAATACAAAAATACAGCAAGAGTATTTGTGAAAGACACTGAAGGTCCATTTACTGAACCAGCTAAACTAATTTTAAAGCCATACCCTAGTATCTGTTCGATTATCTTTGGAGTTGCAGGATCTCCTGAGCAAATAACTCTGTGGTTATAAGTTATGATTTGTGTTGCGATCTCCTGAACTGGTCCGTTTCCTGAGTCTGTCTGTGCCATGTAGACACTTTGACCTTTGACACTTTGACCTTTGGTCTCACCGTTTCTCTTCATTGGCTGTGGAGCCATGGGAAATTTTCTTGTGATGTTGCACAACAAATCTGAAAGTGTGAGGTCTGGTGTTTGCATATTTCCTTTGTAAATGACATCAGAGCAGGTGAAGAGCTAAAAGGCATGACCAAGTACCCAGGAAACACTGAAAAAATTATGTTAAGCATGACAGCTGAGATGCAGAAATGACTGGCCTCCTGTACTGGCCTCCTGTACTGGCCTCCTGTCCCACTGAGCGATTTGTAAGCAGGGTTACTGTAAGGAGAAGTACAGAGGACTTACTCATTGTAACTAGATGGCCTAATTTTATTTTGACATTTCTTTTGTAATTTCAGGAAAAGTACGTAGCAAAACCACACCAGATCTCCTTCCAGGATGTTTCTAAATATTTGTCGAGCACGTGAGACGTGAGAGAGCGAGACTTGTGTTAGACGGCACACATCCCTCAGATCTGTCTGAACTCCCAGTCAGAGTCACGGTTTCTCAGGATTTCACTTTAGGATTTCTCAGTTACAGAAAATGAGCGGGAGCAGTCAACCCTGGCAACCCTGTTCTAACCCAGTAGAAATGGGGTGGAAAAAGAAAATATCACAGTACTATCTTATGGTCTCCTCTGGGAACACGGTGACTCCTTTGTCTCCATGCCCAGAATTCCTGAGCCCCCCAGTTACTCAAGCCCAGCCCATTGCTTCAGCAAAATATCCTATTTAGGAAGAAGTCCTTCACTGATGGAAATGTTCACATCAGAGGTCCCTGGAGCTCAGTGTTAGAACTGGCTGCACAGGCTGCTACTCTCTTTTAGGATTATGATTGGTTGTTCTGCAGCTACTCTGTCCCGTGTTATGACTGTACTGCTGCTACTCTGTTCCAGTGCTATGATTGGTTGTTCTGCTGCTGCTCTGTTCCAGTGTTATGATTGGTTGTTCTGCTGCTACACTGTTCCAGTGCTATGATTGGTTGTTCTGCTGCTACACTGTCCCAGTATTATGATTGGTTGTATGCTTCTACTCACAAATAGAAAGAGGCGGACGTCTATTAGGAATGCATGGAGTCTCCAACGATAGATTGTTCAGAAAGGATGAAAACAGTTGTTCTTAGTGCTGCTATCATACGGCCTTTTTAGCATTATCTTGAACATGTATAACAGGTGGTTTGTGATGATAGTCTCCTCGGCAGTCAATAACCAGCAAGAGCCATATGATGACACTGTTAATATAATGGTAATTGTGAACATCAATTCATCTGCTAGTGATGATCTGGAACTTTGCAAAACAATCTTCTGCAGTATAACTTGGTTTAAAAACAGGGACATCTCAGCCAGGGTATATGTCTTCCTCCAGTCTCTCCTCGACTACTTTCCTTGTCTGATCTCATCATTATTGGGCCACCTTTCCCATGCATAACATGGGAAATGATCATTTACTGAAGACCTGCAGAGCAGCAGTATTGGCTGGTTCAGTAAATTTCACCCGTACCTCATATTCTGCTGAACTGAGTTGAGTTGAGAGGATTAACCTGAGAGTTCAACAGCTCTTCCTCTTCACCTATCGTTGCTACAGTTAGGAGAACACTAGCTCTTTCTATATACATATGTATGTACTATATGTTTTCCAGATTAACTAAATATCGTGCTGTTTCTCCTCTGTCTCCTCTGATTAGACCAGAGTGTGTGACTCTGCCAGTCAAAGAGGTAATGGACTCAGACATACATGCTACCCCGAGCAGCCGAGAGGCCAAGCTGTCCTCTTTCTCTCAGCCTCGTATTTCTGAAGATGACACCGTGCTGAGCTCTCAACAGGCCCGCGGGGAACTATCTGTACTGGCCAAGTCGGAAACGGCTGTGAACGAGGGCGCCGATGATGCGGCGTGGTTGGACACACAGCTGTCGAAGGAGGCTCTAGTCCAGGCAGAGTGTCCCATATGGGCCACCCTGGAGGAGAAGGCTAGCACACAAGGATCAGAGCAGGTCTCTGCTTTGGAGCTAGACAGTGAGCAGAGCATTCCTGGAGATGTGAGTGCAGAGGAACCTGCAGCAGGTTCCCTTCGGGGGGGGTAAGTGGCTACCTCCCTCCTGGACATCAGCAGTCTCACCTTTCGGCTGTGAGCTCGCATGTTTTTCTCAGGCTCTGGAATGCGGCTCGTAGAAGCGCTTGGTTGTTTTTTTCGGTATATCAGTCTGTGAGGCTTATCAGTGACCAGTCATGTGTGTGAAGTAGGACGATCTCTACTCATCTAAGTAAAGTCACCTTGCAGTTAGAAGCCAACATAAGAACTGTACATAGCTAGGGTAAAGGGCAAGTGTATATTTTCATGCAGATATAATGAAGTTAAGTTTTGCCATGTGATCTAGTGTTCTTCTCAGTAGCCATTTGGTAGGTGTCGTATATATATGTATTTTTGGTTTGGCAGATATATGTATATGTTGCATGCATGTATCTCTGTTTTGAGGTCTTTCAATGCTGATGAAGCTCTTAGGAAGCTACTGAAGATTCTCAGTCTAATTTGGATAGTTCAGTAAATCTGGCTGCGTCATTTAACTGATTTGCTCACTTCTTCTGACTGTGCCTGAACATTGACTTCATGCTTAAAGTTTGCCCTGTCGCTGCTGCATAATAGCATTAAAGCATTTATGCTCGACACAGAAAACTTACACATAAAGCGTTGAGTGAGTGTGGGTCAGATTGATATTTTTGTTTGAAAGCAAGTCGTAGTATCTGCAGTAAATTCTTTTTAGTGGCTTTGGCACTTCTTTCCCAAACATTGATATAAATATCCTTGTCCTTTAGCCTTGAAAAAGTTACCGCCGTATTTCAGCCAGCGGAGCCAGGGATGCCATTTGAAAGCGTGGTGAATAGCGAGGTCATCTCCCGGGGAGATGGCGCCTCTAGTCCATCCCCTCCATCTCAGCCCGAGCTTCAGTCACCTGAGGTCTTTGCCAGAGACCAGGCAGCTGAATCAGTTCTGCAGCCTCCGGCAGCGGAGGAAGCCAACAAAGATATAGCTACTGGAAACCCAGACATCTTTACAGAGTTTCCATCCGCTTCTATGACTGATACAGCCTACAGCTCCCTGGTGGAGCCCTTGTCCCAGTCAGACCAGCGTACTTCGCTTGAAACCAGTGCATTTGTGGACGTGGAGCTTAATAACGAGGGACAGGAAGCGTTTGCCACGGACTGTCCGTCTTCCCCTGATGCCGAGAGACCGCTGTGGGCTGCTCTTGAGGAGAAAGCGCTGGAGAAGGAGGAGGGAAGCGTAGATACAGCAGAGTCGAGGGACAGGGGGTAAGTTGGCGTGTGCAGGCTGCTCTGAGCATGACTTGAGTGGTTCATGAAAACCATGCCTGTCTCCCTGCTTTGGCAACTCCTTACTCATTTGGCTTATTGACAAGAGTTGCGCCGTGTGACTTCCCTGGTAGTTTTCCTGCTGCCTCTGTGAATTATCTGCTCACAGCTGATTGTCTCATTTTCGTTTCCTCATTATTTGTTATTTCAACTTTTGTAAACATGCCCTGAACACAGCTACTTTGTTCTCACAAATGAAAATGAGATTAGGAGCAAAGACATACATTACGGTAGATCCAGCTTCCATATGCTAATCAACGGTCCCTTATTGACCCCGGTCCCAGTGTTCTGTGATTTGCTGAAAACAGTCCCTGCTGGGACCCCTGCATGCAGTGTTGTCCTCTTTTGTCGTCCCCGAGGCTAAACGTTCACTCTCTGCTCCTGTCACTGCGTCCAGCAGTCCATTCACAGCAAAGCCTGTCTCGAGTGACGCCCAGCTGGCGAAGAGGCCAGGGGAGGCTCCTCTCATGGCTTCTGCCCAGGATGGAGGAGCCAAGGATGCAGGCATCAGTCAGTGTAGCTTAGCGCCATGTCCTGCAGAGCTTCCAGCTCCACCTGAGCTCATCAGTAGCCCTGCAGTGAGGGAACTGGCCCAAGACGCTCATCCCAACACGGGCAAAAGGTCATCACGGGCAGAGGTTACCACTGACCTCCAGGAGGGAGTTGACGGCATAAGGCAAGACGGCACAGATGAGCGGACATCTCCCACCGCTGCTGACTCAGCTCAAGCCAAAGGTCGGCTTCCTTCCCCTGACGGAAGGATCGATGTGCGTGACTCAGATGCCGACACGAGAGGGGAGCTTGTGGAGGAGCAAGATGCACCTGTGGGGCTGGTGAAGACTATAGTGGGTGTTTTGCACAGAGGGTAAGTATGTAGGAAAGACAAACCTCTCCTCGGCTCCCGCATCACCTCACCATCGAGTAGAGTTACAGCATCACATGTTTTATTTGCTGCATCAGCACCAGGAATGAGAGGAGCTTCAGCATATTATAGCTAGAGTATTTATTTATTATTCCTGCATGTTGCAACAAAATCCATGTGCTTGAACCCTCGCTGTGATAGACATGAGGATCCCCGAGGCATTTGTAAGCTAAAATGCAATATGGTTGGACAAACACACGACAAACCTTGTTTGATACCATAGATGCATTGAGAGTTGCTGGGGTATTGCATTTCAACCAGTGTGGCCACAAAGGAATCCAATATCTCATTCTTTTTGCTTGTTGTAATTAAAAAACAAAGATTGCAGCTCCTGACTGTCCCCATCTCTCAGTTATGAGACAGTGGCAGCTATGTGGCAGCCAACTGATGCAGGAACAGTCACCAACAGGGCAGAAATTCCCAAGGATACAGACTCAAACAACTGCAGTTTCAGTCTGTTGCCCCCCTCGCCTCAACACATGATCCCATCAGCCACGGCTGTCTGCGATCCCGCGGAGAAGTTCCAAAGCTCAAGTTGGGAACCACGGACAACCGGAGGAACCCCACCGATCGGTGAATTATCTTCTCAACAGAGAATGAGCCTGGTGGAAAGCCTGCGATTGGCTGCCTTGGAGGAGAGCACCAATGAGAAGACTGAGGAGCCAGTTCATGCTGCTGAGGCAGAGGCTGGGAGGGAGGAAACGGCAGGGCGGGTGGCAGAGACAGACGCGATACCTTTTTCATTACCAACAAGGCAGGCAGACTCCGAAGGCTCGAGCTGTGGGAAAACGCATCCAGCGCTGAGAGAAGCAGGCCTGGAAGATGTTGCTATGGGAGCGCGCCAGGAGGTCGAAAGCAAGGATGCTTCTCTCGTTATTGACTCAAGTGAGGAAAAGTGTGTTCAGTCACAGGAGGTTTTTGCACTGAAGGCTGCAGTAGAGGAGATGGAGTTTGAGGCAGGGCAGGAGGACATGGGCACTGTGTGGTTGGCATCGCTGTACATGGATGGGGGGTAAGTGTTTGAGGGACGCCTGCCCTCTGCACTACTTGCCTGCACCGCCTGAGAGACTTGAGTTCCTCCATCAGGCAACTGGCTGTGGAGTGTGTTGTCCTGCATTAAACGTGGCTTTTTCTGTGCAAGTTTGTTCTTATTTTTCTCAAGGATGCTTGTATCAGTGCAGGTTGCTGCTGTGTCGAGGTGACTGTGTCTTTCGGCATTGATAAACTGCTGCTGTATCTTAGGAATCACTTGGGCTTCTTGGTACGCATCTGTGACATGTGGAATTGGCGCAAGCTTAAAGGATTTTGGATAACTTTTAGCAGGCCTGCTGATTTGTTCGTTTGTTTGTGGTGTTTTTCTATAGCTAACGTGCATTTAGTGCTGTGCCTGTGTGGCACGGTTATCGTACCAGATCATACAATCAGCAATGTGCATATGTGAGTGGAGTGAGAACCTGTGGCATGATTCGCAAATTCTAAACTAAGTGTCCCTGTTCCGTAGCTCGGAGACAATGTCTACTACACTGCCCACATCAGAGGGGCTGCATGAAGGACAGGAACCGGTGCCTCAGGAAGTTAGTCTTGACAATACCTACCAGAAGGTCAACCCATTCCCCAAAGTGACCCCGCCTCGTCGTAGCAAAAAGAAAAACAACCTTCCCCCCCTTCAGGAAGTGGGCTCAAACAGGCCTGATCCAGAAACTACTCCTGCTAAAATGGCTCCACCACGACGCACTAAGGGAAAAAACTCTCCACACCTAGTTTCCCAAGAGCCAGGATATCAGGACAGCTCTACTCTGACTCCCACAGCAGCCAGTGAATCCATACCATCCCTGCACATTCCAGCATCTCAGAGATTTAATGTAGGAGATGATCTGGAGCCGCCTGTCCCCACATTGGCTTCAGGTCAGCCAGAGAACATGCAGGTGACCCCCCAGGAGGACCTAGATATGGAGAAACAAGACACACCAGTGGAGACTGCGTTAGAATCAGACGTGTCCGTGAAAAGCTCCGTGGTCCCGTGGCCTCTTCCCGCCCCTCAGTCTCAGGCCCAACTGAGCGAGGCCGTCCTCCACACTGCTCACAAGTGCCCAAGCAGTGACAGCAAGCTCTCCAAAGAGGAAAGTCTGCTTCTGGCCAGGATTCTGCAGATGGATCTGGAAGAAGAGCCGCCAGACGCGCCGGTGGCTGCTCCTCGCTTGAGAAAAGTTTTGCGTGTCAATCCTGACAGTTTAGCACCTCCTCACTCTCCCTCTCCCTCTGAAGCTGAGGCCCATCTGCTTCCTGTCTCTGCCAGTGACAAGGTGGCACCAGATACTACATCCAAAGACCTGAAGCTGCATCAGACAGTGCCCTCTCTCCGGGGCAGCCCACGGGATGTTGACACAGGCTGCACTAAACAGGACTCTGTTCCTGTACCAGACATGAATGACAGTTTGACAGATGCACAGGCCAATTTCAGCGCTGGTGACAGAGACCTGGTTGATATGTCATTGAGTGAAACTGTGGAGGACAAGAGAAGCAATGAGAGGGACCAAAAGTCAACACATGATCTGCTCTTCTCTATGGCGTTCCCACAATCCCAAAGTGACGATTCCGTGACCTTAGTCTCCTCAGATGTTATTAAGGAAGCCACCGTCACTGAAGCAAACAGAATGGATATTGGAGCAAATGGGAATTTCCCATCGGTAGATTCCGATGTTCTCCTTGTATCCAGCAGCAATGCATCCGAGGGGAGCGATGGCCAGCCTGCTCTTATAGCCCCTCCTCCAGCCCAGAATAAGGGGTCATTTTTGGCTGGGATGGACTGGGGGACCAGCGAGAGGAACAGGGAGTCCAAAATAGAAACGGGAGTCACAGCAGTGAAAGAGGAAGTGACTCCAGTGGCAGGATCCGATGGACTGGTTCTGTTTACTGTAGATGCAGCATTTACTGCCCCTAATGATGGGTAAGTTAAGGATGGCAGGTCTGTCTTACCCATGTCACAAATTGGCTTGAGTTAGGCTTGAGTTGGCCTGATATAGGTTTTGATATTATCATAGCTTAAACATATGACCTCTTCACCTGTAATGTCTTGGATAATAGTTGCTCTGTTTACCTTTTTACACCATTTTTTGTGTTTTGTGTAATAAATAAGTATTTTTTGCAGTATGAGGATTTTCATTGATTATTCTAGCTTGTCATTTGGAGATGTGAGAAAGTCAGCAGATGGACAATACAGACGAGAAATACGAACTCAGCGTGAAATTTAACATGAACTTAGCATGAACTTAACATGAAATTAGTGTGAACGTTACAATTCCAGCATTAAACACACTTTCTCAGTTTGGAAGCTTTGCATATTTTTTTTTAAATTCAGTACATGTGTGAGCTGTTAAAATGTTATACTTGTTAAAATTCAAGATTTTCATGCATTCGTCATGGGGAGTTTGTGTTGTTGTCAGGGAGGTAACTTGTTTTCAATCTCACAGGATTGTGCTCTGTTAGCCCGTTGTTTGGCACACTGCAGTCTACGCTTAGCTACAGTGCTCTGCCTTCCAGTGCTCGTAACTGAGCTGGCAGTTCATGTGGTAAATGGTTCCAAACTACAATGATTGATCAACTGGGGCTATTTTTATAGTGCTGAGGGAGTCGTAACTGCAAGCTTTCGCAATCTGCAGCAGCCTTCAGCGTTTCTCACATCTGCGTCTCTGTCTCCTGTAGTTTCGAGGCGGAGCAGGCGAACAAGCGTCCAGTGACTGAGCCCGATAGCCCCCATCCTGTGGCAGCCGCCCCGGGCCCCGTCTCAGCCTGCCCCGAGCCTAGCAGCCAGTCCACAGCCAGACAGCAGGGGTCCCCCCCAACAGCCAACGTGGTGGCACCCCATCGAAAAAGAAAAACCACACCGCCCCCAGATGTCCCCAAAGTGGTACCTGCGACAGTGACAGAGGTATACAGCGCTACATCTCAATGCTGTCGCAGTGGACTTTTTTTCATGGGGCTGTTTTAATTGGAGCACTGTCAACTCATTTAAGTTTTCTTCTGCACAATTTTGCTATTTGGAATTACAGGAAATTTGTTTTTGTTTTATCACGGAGAAAACGCCAGCGAAAGCCAGCTGAATCGCAGTCAGAACGTGACCACTGACAAATGCCGCTTGAAGTGCTCACAGATTTTAGAGTCTGGTAGTCGGCTGTTCCCGTCCGGATTTAGCTTAGCGCATGCTAATGAATCATCTTCTCCACTTGTCAGGTGTCCAGCCTGCCGGCCAGCTCTGCTCTGGTGACCTCCAGCCAGTCGCTGCTGGAGTGGTGCCAGGACATCACCAAGCAGTACAAGGGGGTGAAGGTCACCAACTTCAGCACCTCCTGGCGAAACGGCCTGGCCTTCTGTGCCATTCTCCACCACTTCCACCCAGACAAGGTGTATGTACCCAAACGTGACTCAGAAACCATGCTGCTGTGAACCTTAAAAGCACAAACAAGACCAGTTCTTCTCCATGATTTGCTGTCTTTGTATATTTGTTGCCATAAAAGCTGCCTAGCAGCCGATTGATCTGAGTATCATGGAAAGTGTGATTCACTTACCAAGCATGTTCTGCATAGTTTCTGCATGTGCTGCCTTTGTATAAAATCATGCTGCTTTGCCTTTAAGGGTGTGAAGGTGCAGGACCAAAATCCTCTGTGGCATTACAGCAGAGGCGGCCATTTCAGGTCCAGAGAGGACACATCCAGACCAAGATTCTGTTTCAACCAACCAGTCGAGTATAATGAGTCACAGCCACAGATACTCAACTGGTTGGTTAAAACAAAATCTTGGTCTGGATTTGTCCTCTCTGGACCTGAACTCTCCACCTCTGCACAAGACAAACGTTAAATAAAACCAGCTGCTGTTGCTTCACAGGGACTATGACCAGCTGGATCCATACGATATCAAATTCAACAACAAGAAGGTGAAAATGCCCTGATTTTATTATTGTTGTTGTTTGTTGTTGTTTTTACTGCCCTGTGATGGGTTGGTGCCCCCCCCTGGGTTATTCCCTGCCCTGTGATGGGTTGGTGCCCCCCCTGGGTTATTCCCTGTCCTGTGGCTGTAGTTTGGACCCTTTAACCCTGAATAGGACAAGCGGGTATAGAAAATGGATGGATGTATTATTATTATTATTATTATTATTATTATTATTATTATACTGAATTCCATCCTTGGTATTAATGCCTTTGTCATTGGAAAATCCACAAACCTAAGTCATAAATGCAAAATTATTCACTGTACTTTGTCCTAAATTCTAGCTACTTCCTGTCCCGGTTTTGCAGGCCTTCGATGGCTTTGCCAATCTCGGCATCTCCCGTCTCATGGAGCCGTCAGACATGGTTCTGCTGACGGTGCCTGACCGCCTCATTGTCATGACGTACCTGTGCCAGATCCGTGCCCACTTCACCGGCCAGGAGCTCAGCGTGTTACAGATCGAGAAGAACAGCAGCCAGACCAGCTACGCCGTCGGGGATCCCAAAGGAAGCACAGACCTGGATACCGCTGCCCGCTACTGTGTCCAGAAGCTGCAGGCGAGCGGCGTCTCGCTGGAGACCAACGGGAAGGCTGCAGAGACGGAGCGCGAGGGTGAGGGGAGGTCCAACGGAAACCTGGTGGCGCCCCCGCGCAGCAGGCGCGTGTCGCGGCCGGACGAGAGCGGGGGCGGGGCTGCGAGCAGGCCGGAGGAGAAGCCGGCGCAGACCCCCCAGCCCCCGCCGCGATCCCACGCCGCCTCCAGGTCCAGCTTCAGCCATGTGAGGGACGCTGACCTGGTGAAGAAGCACCGCTTGCGGCACAAGAGCGAATCCACCGAGGAAGCCGACCCAGCGGAGCAGCAGAGCGCCCCCCACAGCACCAGACGGGTAAGACGCTCTTTATCTCCTACGCTCTTCCTCCTTCATCCACTCATCTTCAGTGTTATCTTCATTAGCTATCAGTGGTGGACAGGGTTCTGCTAATCCGATCACTTCTAATTAGCAAAGCTAACTTTTTTGTTAGCAGATTAGCTTTTCTGCTGACTTTGAAAATCATTAACGGACCAATTAGCTTCTGCTAAATTTAGTTATATGAACTGTAAATCTGCTAATGTTTTTTCGTAGATAAATAAATTTTATCAATTCGTCTTTTGTGTTATCTTCGTTATTTACATATAACTGCCTGCGAGCTAATGACATGGCTGCCATTAAGTCCATTAAGTGTCTCCCTTACTGCGGTTATTGTCCGGCTAGCCGGTTAGCAGGTAGCTCTTTAGACGGGGCTCATGTTCAACGTTGATGCTTCTCGTGGCAACAGGCCTCACAGGAGCAGACGGTTGCTGAGGTGAAGAACGGCTCCGAGGCAACGGCGGAAACGAGCCAATCAGGTAGGATCGGAGGTGAGGCTAGAAATTATGGCCCCTCCCATCAGATTTTATGTATAATTTTATGCATCCCAGGGCCCCTTTAAAGTGCGGGTCCCAGGGTATCCATTCCCCTCCTGTGCCCCAGGGTAAGACAACCGGCTGTATTGACAGTCACTTTTAGGTCAGCTGTAATAAATGAAATATATATATAAAATGAGAATGGCAGTGTGCCTCGGTGGATTGACATATATAATATGATGAGGAATGGTGGGAATTGTGATTGGATCAGTACTGAGCGTATAATGACACAGGAGAGACCAAACAGAATGGGAGAATTTCTAGAATGTTTGAAATGACGAGATGAACGTGGTGAAACGTGCCGACCTTTACGTTAACCTTACTCACCACTGAGACGTGCATTTAAAAGCTTCTCACGCCCCCTGGAGGTGCTTAAAGTCATAGTGAAACATACAGATGTGAGGTTGTACTGAGAGAGGTTCAGGAAGCTGATGCGATACGCTGGTTGGCCTTGGCTAGTGTTTATTTTCATTATAACAAAAGCTGTGGATAAAGAGCACAAGACAAAAATAAGAAAACAGAAAAAAACAAATAATGTCATTGGCTTTTTTTAAGAGACAGAACTAACGGTTGTGTCGAACGCGCGGTTGCTCAGGGAGTCCCGAATGAGGCACATTACCTGCATTGTGAGGGAGTCCCGAATGAGGCACATTACCTGCATAGTGAGGGAGACCCGAATGAGGCACATTACCTGCATGGTGAGGGAGTCCCTAATGAGGCACATTACCTGCATGGTGAGGGAGTCCACAATGAGGCACATTACCTGCATTGTGAGGGAGTCCCGAATGAGGCACATTACCTGCATTGTGAGGGAGTCCCGAATGAGGCACATTACCTGCATGGTGAGGGGGCGTCAGGGCACTACAGCCATGTGGCGCGATTCCCTGAGGGTGATCCGGCTCGCAGGATCCTCATTGCTGAGGACCCGAGCGGCTGGACCAGGCCGAGGGGACGCCCACGTAACACCTGGCTGTGGCAGATAGACGGGAGGGTGGGACTGGAGCACGTGTCGGCCTGGGGGGCGGGTCGCCGACCTGGACCCCTAAGTGTGGCGACACGGCCTGGTAACCAGGATCCCCAGCCTGACCTGTCCGCTTATTAAAAGCTGTAGGAAAAGAATATGAGAAAAAAATAAGAAAAAAACCAACAAATTAAACTTGATATCCATCCATCTTGTAATTGCTAATAAATTACAGGGCCGTAAGTATGGGGGGTGGAACCTGTTCCTGTTGCAGCACAGACACCTTTACCAGTCTGACACCAGTCAGTTTACCTCAAGCTCCCCGTCTCATGTCTGACTGTCTGCTGTGTTACACCAAATGCAAGTTAAACGTCAAAACCTCGCCGGTCCGGGTTTAGGGCAGGCCGGCTGGCGCTCAGGAGGGCACACCTGTCATGCCGCTTATTATGTTACACACAGAGGTACCGAGAGTCCCCATAGAGCAGGAGCATGAGGAGCACGGGCCAGAAGAGGAGCACAAGCCCGGCGAGGAGGACAGTCTGGTCAGTATCTCTGCCTGATCACTCCTTGTACAAGACAGAGTGTGCAGTTGTACATTTTTTATCCCTCATCTCTACCTTGTCACCGATTTCCGTCTCAGAAGCACATAGTATAGCATCTCTGTGCAGCTCTGCTCTCTACCTTGTCTCGCCCTTTAACCTTCCGGCCTTTCTTCCTGTCCGTCGCTGCGTCTGCCCCCCTGCCCCGTGCCCCCGTGCGCGCCCATCTCCCGACTGGTCTGTCTGTGCGCCCGTGTGCCCAGCGTCTGCAGGACACCAGCCAGTATGTCCTGAGCGAGATTCAGGCTCTGGAGAGCGAGCAGAATCACATCGACAGCAGGGCTGCCGTGGTGGAGAAGAGGCTCAGGCGGCTGATGGAGACGGGTGAGGATGAAGAGGACCGCGGCGGGGAGGAAGGGCGGAGGGAGGAAAATGGTGAAGGGGGAGGGCGGGGAGCTCTGACGTTTTGAACACAGACGTGGGAGGCTGAAGTTCTGCTTTTTCAGGGAGCGACCGGGACGAGGAGGAGACACTGATCCAGGAGTGGTTCACGCTGGTCAACAAGAAGAACGCCCTCATCAGAAGACAGGACCACCTGCAGCTCCTGTGAGACCCTCACGTCACGCCCCCGTGGGCCGCAGAGCGGCCAGCGTGTCTGTGTCTGACTGGGCCAGCAGCAGAGTGCTGTGAGACCCTCACGTCACGCCCCCGTGGGCCGCAGAGCGGCCAGCGTGTCTGTGTCTGACTGGGCCAGCAGCAGAGTGCTGCCACTCCGCAGTGCTAATATGGAAATGCTAAAGCCATCGACGGCTGAATTATCCCCCCCGTCAGGCCTCAATGAAATCAGCACGGATTTATGGATGTCGTGAATTATATGCCTGCAATGTGCCGTGGGGAGGGAAGTACCATCACCCGAGGAGTAGGAACCCAGAGTGTGGGAGGGAAGGTTGAAGGAAGGCTGGGCATTTGGAACATAGTTTCAAACTCTCACACGTTGGAGTATGTGCCACGCTGAAGGGAGATGACAGGGGATAACAGACTTAAGCAGTAAATTTTTTCAATGTTAATCCCCGTGCCAGGTTTTAGTCTCTCCAGTTTGTCTCTCCATCTCATTCCTGTCTGCTCCTCATCATCCCTCCCCCCTCCAATCTCCGGCCTCCCTCTCTGCTGTTGTTTATATTCTGGCGTGACCCCGTTTGTTGTCCGGCGGCCATCTTGGCTGCTGGCGCCCGCTGAGTTAGGGTCACACAGGGCTTTCGGGCCGCGAGTGACTGTGTCGGTCCTCACCCTGTCCGGACAGGCAGGAGGAGCAGGACCTGGAGAGACGCTTTGACCTGTTAACCCGGGAGCTGAGAGCTATGATGGCCATAGAAGGTAAGTGGTCCTGGTATGTAGTGTCACTGCTCTAACTTATATACCTCCCCTCAGGGCCACCTCAGCCATTCCATGTGTTTGTTACATTTCACCAACTTCTGACTTCATTTAACTCATTCATTCCGCAAGCTTGGTGTGATAGTGGTCAACTTAAAAAATATGCATTTCCTGTGTATTGGACGGCGGCTGTGATCGCTGGGGTGACTCTAGGAAAGGTTTTGAAATGGCTAAGCTGACACATCCGTAATTTTGTGGCAACATGAAGGTTGTTAAAGGTCACTTTCTTTGACTGGTTTAGACCTTTGAAGAGCGCTGTGTGTATATGACATACAGTAACGGCGATACATGGCAATGTAGCCTGAAGCTGAAGCGACGTCTGGAAGGAAGTACGAGGACATTACAAAATGTCGGCTAATGGCTGTGCCCCCCCCCTTTGTCCTTCAGAGTGGCAGAAGACGCAGGCCCAGCAGCACAGGGAGCAGCTGCTGCTGCAGGAACTGGTGTCGCTGGTCAACCAGCGAGACGAGCTGGTGCGCGATATGGATGCCAAGGAGCGGGGGTGAGCTGCGGGGGGGTTACAGCTCCTGTCTCCCATATCAGGGCATCTGTTCCATCAGGGTATTAACTATAAGCAGGCCTGGAGTGGCCAATCAGGAGACTCAGGCCAGGAGCGGCCAATCAGGAGACTCAGGCCTACAGCAGCCAATCAGGAGACTCACACCCAGAGCGGCCAATCAGGAGACACAGGATTATTCCCGCTAGGCTGCTTAGCTGCTGGAGAAGTCAGAAACAAAATAATAAAATAAATTCTACAGCACTTCAGAATGGTAACCAACAAGTTTTCTCATCCACCCACACACATGTACACACACAAACACACACACACAGGTTTGTAATTATATCTTTGTGGGGACTCTCCATTCATTTCTATGGGCAAATCTCTAATCCCAACATGACGACCTTAACTCCCACCCAGCCCTAACCTTAACCATAAGTAACCAAACAAAATATCGGACTTTTGCCATTTTTAGTTTTTTGAATTGGCCTGAAACCACCTGAAAAGTGGTTTCAGCAGAGACTGTGCCCATGATCTCTCAGCTCTCCATCTCTGTGTCTCGTCTGTAGGGCTCTGGAGGAGGATGAGAGGCTGGAGAGGGGACTGGAGCAGAGACGTAGGAAATACAGCCGCAAGGAGAAGTGCGTGGTGCAGTGAGTGGGCCAGGACCAGGACCAGGACCAGGACCAGGACCAGGACCAGGAGGCGAGTGACGCGGACGATGACCAGCCAGCCCTAGAAGGAGGGGAGCCCACAGTTTAGACTCTCCTGCTGAGCTGAGGCATTCTGGGAGATAAGCCCATCGTGACCATAGCCCCGGGCTCTTAATGCACATCTGCTGGGTGCTCAAGGGTAACTTAACATCCACTGCCAACTTTTTGTGACGCTTGTTTGTGGTTTTTTCATTTGCCAGTGGACATTCTTTGAGTGGAGTATTACTAATAAGCCGCAGTAAGTTTTTAAAGGAGCAGAAAGAAAATTCTGACCATTAGTTCTTTCCAAGGTCTACTAGGGGACTTGGATAAGCGATTCAGGTTCAGGTAAGACTGAGGACCTCGTAATCTGGAACACCAGCATGTCATACATAGCGTGGATCAGGCACAGGGTCAGGAGTCTTTACTGCTGGCTACAGTGATATTTCTGCCAAAAATAATGTTTGTAAAACTGACCTGAAACTGGAGACATCCAGGGAGCAGGGAATGACGTATACTTGGCTTTAGTTGATTAAATTCACCCTTTTCTCCAAGTGCCTTAAAAAGCTGCCTATTCCTCAACTCATGTGCTTTTCATAAACCTTTGTTGTTGTATGAGAGTGAAATACTGAATGGGACTGTTGAATATATATATGTCTAGAGATGGAAAGTTCAGGTGCAGAAAGTACAAATCCAGACCTAGATTTTGTTTCAACCAACCAGTTCTCTTTATATTTAACTGGTTTGTTGGAACAAAACCTTGACCTGGATTTTTACATTCTGGACCTGAACTTTTCACATCTGTATATGCCAGTGAAGACTACTGCAACATAGTACACTGCAGGGTAACCTGGACTGCAACACAGTACACAGCTGGGTAACCTGGACTGCAACACAGTACACAGCAGGGTAACCTGTACTGCAAGCACTACTGGGAGACTGTGACATATGTGTGTGGGAAATTGATGTGGAAGTGGAAATATGAGGAACTTAGTTAAACAAACCTTAAAGAATCTTATAGGCTAACTAGAATTGAATACTATAAGTTAATACTGATATGTGAAATCTGTGGTGTGAAGGATATATTATGTGTGAAGTACACAGCAGTGTTTTTAAGGCATGTTTTTGGCAGGTTTGTTTTAACTTATTTTATTTATATATTACTATATAAGGGACCTCAGCCAGAGCCTTCTTGTGGAAGTGGTGAAAAGGAACGTGTATTTACCTTGATATGAGCTCACATTTATGACAAATCCCATAATCCTCTGCAAAATAACTCATGCTATCCCATTACAATGGCTGTAAAATGAGAGGCTGATTACGTGCCAAGCTGTGCCTCCCCCATGCCCCTTCTCTGTTGTCACCAAACAGATGTTAATCAGGTGCATTCCCATTAGTCATAGCCCTTTAATTCAGCCCCGCCCCCTGGTGTCATTGGTTGTCATTATATGAATGATCTTTTAGGTGAAAGCTAGAGCGAACACACTTTGGGCACTAAGATCTCCATTAATTTGGCAGCACGGAGCTTGTCGGAAGTTGAGGGTGAGAGTGATGAATCTTATACCTCTTTGCTATTATTACATTTCATGTGTTAGAATATAATTGTGGTTTTCTGTTGTCCAAAATACGGCCTTGCAGTGTGTTTCAGCCGTTACCAGCACCACCTTAAAAGACAATGAAAACCCCATAAAACCTCAAGCATTATATTAAAATAGACTAGGGACCCACTGAACTGTTTAACTGAAAAGGGCTATTTAAGAATGCTTTAAACACATATTTGCTTACTTTTTTATCTCTCATTTGGAGTGCTCTTTTCAAGTGGTACGTGCTTGCATATATACATTTCAACAAATCATTCGACTTCCTTAAATGTATTTGCACTGAAACTGTGTCTGTAATTTTGCATGAGGAATAAAGCCGTTTGGAGGTTCTTTTATTCGGAATCTTGTTTTCTTTGTGTTCAGTCTTTCATGAAACACCAATTCCCTGCTGGGAGTGGGACATTCATACTTCTTGCCTGTAATGCTGTGTGTTTCATGCATTCGAAAATGACAACATCAGTTAGAAAAAAAGGATATTAGAATCAATGGTTTCAGTTCAAAAACATGTACCTAAATTGTATACCCTGACAAGGACTTATGAGTGGTTCCGAAGATGGACGGATATTTCATTCAGACCGAAATGGAAAAAATATATATGATGCATATGACATAAGCAGACACTCTCAAAGTGTGGTAAATATGAAATATTTATTCAGTCTGTTATAATGCAAAATTGGCAATGGTGCTTATTAAAATAATTCCCTAATCAGCTAGTTAAGCGTACACATGTCACTCACAGGTATGTGCTCTCACAATGTGGCAAAACCTGTTACCTTTTAGCTTGCGAGAATATTTTTCAGGTCCCCATATAAATCTGTTTGATAAAAATCTGTGAATGCAATCAAAAAACTAAACTAGGTAAAAGTCTTGTATTTTGTTTGCTTAGTTATGGATAGGGTTAGGGCTATCATAGTGCAGATTAGGGTTATGCCCATAGAAATGAATGTGCCCACAAATAATAGGAATGAGAGTCCCCGCAATACTAGGAATATATTAGGTGGGTCTGTGGGTTATGTATATATTACATCGTGGGGACTAACAATGTGATAAATACAATGTGTTATTTTGACATTGTTGGGACCACCTTTCTTATTTAGGTTAGGGTTAAGGTTTTTCTCATATTAATGAGTATAAACGTGTGTGTGTGCTTATAAAGAAGCACGCAACTGAGCTGGTTAGACAGGACTACATCTCCCAGGCCGGATACCGCAACATACGCGGCGTCGTTTCCGGTGACGTCACGCTCGCACCTGCGCAGCCATCTTGTGTTTTACGCGAGAAAAAAAGGGAGAGAAACAAAAACAGAAAAATAAACCCCAGGAAGGAAGGTGAGCTACGACTGTAGTCCTTATGAAAAAGCCGAACTGAAAGGAACTACCTTCGGAGAAGAAAAAATAAGAAGGAAGAGGGCGAGTCCATCAGTCAGCCTGCTGTCGGAGCCAAGCACCGTTTAGTTTGCTTTTAGCGGAGACCGAAAGAACGAGGAAGAGCCGACAGGAAGAGCGCAGCCGGCCAGTCGCACCATGAATCCCGAATAGTGAGTACCGGGGTCACGCCGCCGGCCTGCTGTACCATGCAGCCCGAATAGTGAGCACCGGGGTCACGCCACCGGCCTGCCGTACCATGAATCCCGAATACTGAGTACCGGGGTCACGCAGCCGGCCTGCCGCACCGTGAATCCTGAATACCGAGTATGGGGGTCACACCGCCGGCCTGCCGCACCGTGAATACCGAGTATCGGGGTCACGCCGCCGGCCTGCGGTACCATGAATCCCGAACGGTGATTACCGGGGTCACGCAGCCCACCTGCCGCACCGTGAATCCCGAATATCGAGTATCGGGGTCACGCAGCCGGCCTGCCGCACCATGAATCCCGAATACTGAGTACCGGGGTCACCCGGCCGCTCCCCCGTCGACCATGGCCGCTGACACCTGGCTAGTGTGGGCGTTAAAAGCCATCATATCTGAAACTAAATGTTCGCGGGCAAAAGCTCATAGCCGAAGCTAAAAGCTAACGGCTAAAGGCAGAGCGGCAGAGCCGGTACCGTGGCGCCGGAACACTGCTGACGCGCTAGGCGGCCGGCTAAAGGCTGGGGGCCGGCCCTCTCAGGGCTCTCAGCCGTGTATCTGGCTGGTGTGCTGCGGCACTCTGCTACGCTGATAGTTATTATTAGAATATGATTTGCGGTTAAACAGTGACATGTAGCAGGATTTAATTCTCATTTCTTCGGTTTTAATGGTGTCAGTCTATCGTTTTTCTCTGGTGTCCTTTGTCGATACGTGGGGCTGCTCTGACTAACTTAATAAATCATTTGTGTTTAATTGAGGGGCTGGATTGTTGACAGTCGGCTCTTGAAGGCTGCATTGTTTCTGGTCATGTGAACTGTCATCAAGCGACCCAGAAAATCCCATCTTAATCTAATGTCACCCTAATTAGCTGCAGCACAGTAATATTTAAAGCACAAGTCAGTGCAGGAAAAATCCCAGGAAGCTTGGATATAAATCCGTAGGTACTGCTGTAAGTGCTATAGATGTGTGTTTTGCGTGGTCTAGGTCACTTTTAACTGGTATACACTAGATCATTAATTCCCCGTTACAATCGCACTAGCATGAATTTCAGGTCGGCCATATAAATGAAATGAGACCTATATGTCTGTTGTTTAGTGCTTTGCTAACTAATTTTCCTGCTCTCATAGTGACTACCTGTTCAAGCTGCTCCTGATTGGTGACTCTGGTGTGGGCAAATCCTGCCTTCTACTGCGATTTGCTGTGAGTATTCTCCACAGTGGTGCAGCTAGTGTGAAAGCAGCTGGGGACACGGTGTAAAAGATGTGTCCCTTTTGTGCTCCAGGATGACACTTACACCGAGAGCTACATCAGCACTATAGGGGTGGACTTCAAGATCCGCACCATCGAGCTGGATGGCAAGACCATCAAGCTACAGATTGTGAGTTGAAGGACTGCGTACCAGCTGCACTTTTGTCATTTTAGGAGAGTTAACCAGATATGGCTTCCTCTCCTGTATCTGCTGCTTGCTGAAGTTGTCTGTTAATGTAAGTGTGTCCCCAGGTACCAGTTATCAGCTTTTATCTGTGGATTTCCCTTGAATTGTAGAATAAATCCGGCCGCACAGATTAGACCCGCTGGCTGGGTATGTTGTTCAGCATCCCTATGCCACACTGATTGTATCCCGTTGCTATGGTAATCATCCCATTTGTGCCCATCCCTAGTGGGACACCGCTGGGCAGGAGAGGTTCCGCACCATCACTTCCAGTTACTACAGAGGAGCTCATGGGATCATCGTCGTTTATGACGTGACGGATCAGGTAGGCGGCCTTTGGGTTATGTCGATTTCCCGAGACAGATTCCGGTTTAAAACGAGATGCTCTAAAATCATAGCCGGCTGGCTGTCCTTTGAGCTGGCTCTGTGCATTTGTTTATCACCTGTGTGTCTCTTGGAGCAATAGAGTATCGCTTTGACTTTGACTTTTTGCAGTTAGTAGTCCTGTAACGGTGTCCTTTTTTTGTACTGAAGGAGTCGTATAACAACGTGAAGCAGTGGCTGCAGGAGATCGATCGCTATGCCAGCGAGAACGTCAACAAGCTGCTTGTGGGCAACAAGTGTGACCTCACCAACAAGAAAGTGGTGGACTACACAACGGCCAAGGTGACCCTGCAGATCCACACTCACTCTTTGGCTGCCTGCTCCTGACAGAAGTTTTCAGTCGTCTTGTGTCCTTCGTTTACGTATAACTTACTCGCCATCATTAAAAAAAAAAGATTTAAGCGTACGTGGGTCACTCAGCTTAAAAAGTAAAGGATAATCAGTTAGAAAATGGTGTATTTGCCCAGTGTTTGATTCTTGGTGAAATTTTGACTGTTTGATGAGTATGCTGAGCTTCAGTGCTCAGTGTTTATCTTGTAAGCTTCCTTCGAAGCCAATCTGGTTTCCTCTTCAGCTGTTGTTTGATGGGGCGTGTTTGTTGGGATTTTGGAAGTTACTCCACCTGAGTGTCGAACTCACCTTCACTCGCAGGAGTTCGCCGACTCGCTGGCCATTCCATTCCTGGAGACCAGTGCGAAAAACGCCACCAACGTGGAGCAGGCCTTCATGACCATGGCAGCAGAGATCAAGAAGCGAATGGGTCCCGGGGCCACCGCTGGGGGAGACAAGCCAAACCTGAAGATCGAGAGCACCCCGGTGCGGCCGGCCGGCGGAGGTTGCTGTTAGGACCCCTCCGTGCTGAAGTACCCCCTCCCCACGTTCTGCCCCCTCCGCTCACTCCCTGACCCCCTGCAGGAGTGGGAAGGGGGCTGGGTGAAGCTGGGATTGGGGTCTCGCAAGGAGAGGCAGGAGGAGCAGAGGAGCTGGGAGAGAGAGAGGAGATGTTTCAGAACTTGGGACTAACCTGTGATCTTCACTGTAAACCCTGACAAAAATGAAAAAAAAAAAAAATAGAGCTGGGGAGATGTGAGCTCTCTCCCCCCCCCATCACGCACACGCACACACATACACAGGAGGAAGAGGAGGAGGAGGGGCGGGCTCAGCTGGGGGTTGGGGGGACTGCGGGGTAGAGATGCAATATGATATCAGTTCTGGTTCTAGCTTACCCATTAAACTGGACCACAGGCATATGAACACACACATTCACACATCAGACAGACGCTCAAACACTAGGCAGGTGTGCTGGAGGGGGCTACCGCTGGAGGGGGCTACCGCTGGAGGGGGCTACCGCTGGAGGGGGCTACCGTTCACAGGGATCTGCTTTGATGTAGCGACGGCTTCGTTCAGCCCTGGAAAACCAGCCGTTTCCTGCAGGTTAACTTTGTTCTTTGCTAAATAAAGAGCAGTCTGACCCCCTCCCCCTCTCCCAGCGCATCGCAGCTCTCTGGCTGGTGGGTGTGAACAGTGGCTCTCTATTGCCTGCTTTCCTGTAGTGAATTTCCTTTCTGGTGAGGCACTGATGGGGAGAATTGGGGGGGGGGGGCTTGGCGAGGGCCCTGGTGCTTTTGAAGGACATACCATGCACTCACATATGTGTACGTTCACGTCACACACGCCGTCACACACGCCGTCACACACGCCGTCACACACGCCGTCACCCCTGTGATGTGTTAGGTGGCGGCGGACTGACGGGCTTCAGAGCGGCTGCCCTGCATGGCAGGCGGGGGGGCAGAGTGGCAATGAGCGATGTTTCCTCATCTTGTCATTTTTATTATAATGTATTTGCGGTTTTACTACTTTTTGTTTAGTTCTCTAGCCCAGCCTGTGTGTACTGACGCTGCTTCGCTGTCGCTTTGAGTTCCTCTTTCTTCCCCATCCATCCGCTCGCATCCCCCTCATAAATGCCGCTTTCTGACCTCGGGGTCTCCCCTGCCCCGGCACATGGGCGTTTTCACGCCCGCATGCGGGGAGGCCTTCCCGCTTGGCGTGAGAGCGTCGCACGTTTGCTGCCAAACCTCTGCTGTGAGCCCGATGTCTCAGATCTTCGCCATGCGTCGCTTACGAGCCCTGTTTTTGTCCCGAGTTTAAGAAGCAGGCGTCCTTCAAGTGTGTGGAAAAGGCATCATTCAGCTTGAGGGATGTTCCCTTGAAACGAGCTTTTGATCATTTCAGTTGGAAATACATATGTCACTCTGTTATAAGTGCTATTAATCTACTAATCTAATTATGCCTAACTTGCTGGTAGATGCATCCTTAACGGCGACGAACCCTCGCTTCTCCCCATTGTTTTATTTATGTTACTGCTCCCCCCAGCTGTGGGTTGTCTGAGGAGTCGTAAACACATCTTGTCTGTATAATGTTTTTGCCGCTTGTTGTCTGCCCCGGCTCCGTACTCTTCCGCTGTGGGCGAGGTGCCCCAGCCTGTGTCTTCATTAAAAGTACGGCTGTCCCTACACTTTCTCTGTCGCTCGGATTTATGGCGTAGAATCTCGGCTTAGCGAAGCAGCGGTTTAGGTGGAGTGAAAACCTGGAGGAGGTTGAATGGAGTCCACTTCTGAAGCGGGGGTGTGGAATGAAGGATGTGGTCGACGAGGGCGGGGTCACATTGATGCCTAAACTTTACTGCAGTTTATATCCTGCCTGCTCACCAAACGGTTACCCTGCGGGCGAGCGTTGCGCTCACGTGGCCGGGGCACGGTGTGTCCACGTGCGAAGCCGTAGGCTGAGGGAAGGTAGTTGGTTTGTCTCCAAATGTTAGGTCTTGTTTGCTGTGGGTGATAAAGAAATGTTTCTGACTGAAATGTCACCTGGGGCTTTGGAGCTGTTTCAGTGGTAATAAAATCTATTATTATTCCTCTTGTTAATATCTGTTTCTGTTCTTTGTGTCAGCTGCGTGGTTCATTTCGCAGGTTTCCATACATCTGAGCGTGCTCACTTGTGCGCACGGCTTTGCGCACTCCCCGGTAACCGCGTGGCCCGCTGATGACACGCTGCCTTCTGCGACTCACGTTTGGTCCAATTCTGCTCATGGAGGAACTGGGCCTTGGCCCCCTCAGAAGCACTAGCGTCTGCTATTGTCATGGTACCGATAAAGGAGGTCATGTTTGCCGTGAAAATCCGTGGCCCCTGTGGTAAATATTGCATTCCATTTCAACTTGGAAGTCTGAAATTCCTAGTTCCTAGGTTCTCATAGTCAGGGGAACTGTAATGCCAAATTTCTTCCGCTTGTCAAATTCCTTTCGCCTGTGGCTGACGATGATGCAATGGCGATGATGCAGTTTCAAGGAACCCCTAAAGTGTGAAGTTCACCCTTAACGCTGCAGCAAGTTCGCATCAATAAACTACGTTTACTAATGTTTTTTTTTTAAGTATGTTTTTTTTATTATTCTTCATCATTAAGAATGTAACATGTTGTTATCAACTAATATTGCTAACTTTGGATTACAATGAACCGGGCTAGAACTGGGGCTTGTATCACAAAGCAGGATTTCTTGCTTAGCCGGATAACTTGTTGGATTTAAGGTAGTCTGGGGTAAATGTAAGTGAAAAAAGATAATGTCCATTTAAACTGGGGTTCCTTAAATCAGAAGTTGTCTGGCTAAGCAAGAAATCCTGGTGTTTGAAACAGGTCCCTGGTATTACTAAATGGCTTTCCGACTTGTTGTACTGGAACGCAGTTAACTCTCGTGTGACGTCATTCTCAGCTCAGACTTCCGACCTCCAAGGTAAACGGAATACGAGTCATGCTTTCTGAGGACGGGAAGCCTGCAGCCTTTAGTTGGTTTCTAGTGTAACTAAAACCAGTTAGTTACCCGCTTTTTCTTGATTTATCTCACGGCCGTGTGTCCTTTTGGTTCTGCCCGCAGCCCAGCAGGGGGTGCTGTCCACAGCAGCTGTTGCTATGGGACGATGAGACCCAGCTGTGTGACCCTGCTGATTGGTGTCTGCATGGTGTCCTCACCAAGGATGACTAACGGCAGAGAGAGAAGCAGGAGCTAAGCTTAGGAGGCCCAGCTGATATTTTCTAACCCATTCCTTCAGTTTGAACTGTGACATTCCGTCTTGTGCCCGTCTCTCGACTTAGTTTAGTACTTTTTGTATTTAAGGCTGATTTATGCTTCGGTGTCGGAATGTTGTAGCCATGGACCCTACGGTATTGCCTGACAGGCACCTCCCCAAAAATGTAACACAAGTGTAAATGCTCGCGATCGTGCAGGCCAGGGCGTAAGCTCTGTGGGGACTCGACGCAGGAGAATAAACCAACCTTTACGGCCTCATTTTGACAGAACAGGTAAGAAATTAGGAATAATTTATGAATCGGTAGTGTATTTAGTTAATATACCGTATTTGTAGTGATCTGTACTGGCATGGGTTTAGTCCTTTTGAAATTAATACTCATGAATACTCATGAATACTCATTACATTAATTTTATCCAGCAGATGCTTTGATCCAAAGTGACACAATTGGAAAAAGCAGGTCAGACAGTCCCTGCAGCAACTGGGGTTAAGGGCCTCGCTCAGGGGATCGACAGTAATCAAGCTGCGGGGAAATGCACGGTTGGACTCTTTGTCCTTGATCAGTAGGTTGTCGGTTCAAGTCCTTTGGCTTTCAGACTGATGTCACTGTTGTGCCCCTGAATGAGGCCCTTAGGGACTTGCTCCAGGGACTGTCTGACCGTGCTCTCTCACATGCACACACTTTAGGGAAATGTAAAAGCTGTGTTACCTTTGGCAAGTCCATGCTAATGACGCAGAATCCTGTTTTACCTGATCTGCAGCGCAAGGACAATGTGAGAGTGAGTAATGTGTGGCAGGATGTGTGCAGGCCGGTTTTCTGGGCCCCTCCACCCGGCCTAGTGTAGTGACTGTTTGTGGCCAACAGGGGGTCCCCTAATCTTGGAGCCTCAGACAAATGCGTGATTTTGATTGGTGGTAAACACTGCCGCTGGATGTGAGCTTCTTCAGTTGGAAGCTTATCTCCCGACCGACGTGGTCCAGGCTGAAGGTCACATGTGAAGGTTACTTCCTCTGTGAGATACAGCATGTTTCCTTACGGTGAATGAACACCATGGCAGTGGCAAAGGTTTGAAATGTCCTTTGGTTCGGAGAATGCCGGAAGTAGAGCTGCGCGACACTCCACAGCCCCTGAAAAAATAGGTAGCGGGCATCTCTGTTCACTTTTGCTGCTTTGAGAGGCTGTTTTCTCACAAAGGTTGGTTTCCACACCTGTGAGTTGAAAGTTGGGACCATTTCAAACTCATCACCCGTGATGCGCTTTTCAGTTTGTAGATGTTTGGCTGGATAATGGAGTGTTTGTTAGGATGTGAAGTGTTTATTCTTTGAGGCTAGATGTAAATAATAAGGGATATGGAGGGAGGGGCATTCACAGGCCACACCCCCCCAAATGCCACCCACCAAACACGTCTTTTTATTTTGTTTCTTAATAAAGGTGTTCATTCTATTCATATAAACTTGGTCTCTCCCATAGGCGTGGCTTCGGATTGTCTGCTTACCCAATGGCCCCCCCACTCGATCGTGACCCCCCCCATCAGAGTCGTGCTGGTGCCGACACACAGCCCCCAGATCTGCTGTACGGCAAAGCCACAGGGTCCTTGTTTGCCTGCCCAGTCATTCCTGCTGACTCACTCCCACTTCCCGCCCTCTGACACTGAACGCCACACGCTCACTGCTGCATTTCCGCGCGTCTCACCACCTGTGAACCTTTCTGCTCAGTCATCCAGCTTCGGCACATTATTCCTAGTGCTTCCTAGTGCATTTGCCTTTGGAAAATCATGAAATTCATTGAAATGTAGAACTTTCCACTTGAAGCATCACTGCAGAGTGTAGTCCATACAAAAACTGCTGCTTTTAAACTAGGATGGTCATGTGTTTCCTAACGTTGAGGATCAAGGAGCATCTTACTTGGACGCCAGTAGGGTGGAGGGTGGCAGGGTGGTGCGGTGGATCACACCATCGCCCCTCGCCCACTGGGACCAGGGTTCAAGGCCCGACCATGTCCCAAAGGGGAAAAACACTTTTTAGCCCTCAGACATGCTGAAGCACAGACACCAGCACTGTGTAGCCATTAATGGGATACAGGACTTCTGTGATCTACGCAAACACAACCCCTGGCTGTTTGTTAACAGTGAGGTCAGCTGTAATATCATACCCACACCATGATGGGTGTCATATCACATCACACCACACATGGACACCATCCAAGAGAAACAAAGTCCCCACAACTGCCTCCTATAGACTGCTCACTGCATTATTTCACTGCATTTCTGCATGTCTGTCCTGCTTATATTTGCATGTGCGCCTAGACACCTTACCAGTGATCTGCCATGACCTGTCACTGTTCTCAGGTCTGGCGGGCTGCATCTCTTGATCGTCATTTATCCGCAGTGTCAGACGACTCAGACAGGGTCTTGCTCAGGCCCCCCCAGTTTGAGGCTGCTGGCTGAATGGATGATACCATCTACATCACATTAGCACTACGACGACTGATTAAAATAATCTGAGGCATCTGAAAGTGTTTTGCAGGTAAAATAAAGTTTTAATAACTTCAATGCTGTATTTAATATTTCCTAGTGATGATATTGATCTCCTTCGGTTTAAATGACATCCACGTGCACAGAAGAATGCAGCAGTCTCCTTGTTTTGTTTTTCCCTTTTATTTAACACCCCCCAGTGACCCCCCTCCTCCCCTTTCCCTTCCATTCTTCCCATTCCTCCTGGCCTCCCCCCCACCCCGCTCAGTCGAGGGGGCCCTGGAAGATGAGTTTGCAGTGGCCCTGCTCGCCAGTGAGCCAGGTGCCACAGAAGGGGCAGGCGGTGTGGAAGGCGTGGGTGCCGTGGGGCAATGGGATCTGGCTCCAGCCCCGCACTGTCTTTTCCGAGCACACGTGGCCGCAGGGGCAGAAGGCGTGCGTGGGGGGGCCCGCGTCCAGGTACAGGCCGCCCTCGCAGCCCAGCCACAGCGGCACGTAGGGCCCCACACGCCGGCACATGGGACACTCCCGCTCCCCGGAGGCCGCCAGCGAGCCGCCCCCCGCCTTCTCCTTGCGAAAGCCCCAGTTGTGGTAGCCGTGCACGTGGCCGCAGTTGACGTAGACCCAGGGCTGCTTCTTGTCGACGATCTCGCGCTGGGCCAGGCTGGGGAAGGCCAGCGTGTTGAAGCCCACGGGGCACTGGGGGCGCGCCGCGTTGAGCTCCTGCCGCAGTGATTCTAGCTGCTTCAGGTTGGGGGTGCGGCTGAGCCCCACGGGGGTGCGCCACAGCAGGGTGGCCCCACACAGGTCTATCAGAGAGCCATCCTGCAGGGTGTTCGACTCGTTCTCCACCTGCAGGGAAGGGGCGTCGGTGACAGGGATGAACTGCACTCTGTGACTCTGAGTGTGTTTATTTGCCCTGCGGCGAACCAGCATCCCATCCAAGGTGTCACGCGTTCCCTGTGCCCTAAGCTGCCTGGGATGGGCAGCACTGTCGCTTCACCCCCCAGGGTTGTGGGTTCGAATGCCAGCTATTCTCTGTTTATGTCAAGTCCACGTTCTCCTAATGTCGTGTCTGTTTGCAGTCCGCATGTTCCCCCGTGTTGTGTGGGTTCAAATCCCACGCCCACTCTGTGTGTGCAGCCTGCAGGTTCTCCTTGTGTCACTGGGTTTGATTCCCACCCCTGCTGTGTGCATGTGCAGTCCGCCTGGCCCCCCCGAGTCGTGGGGGTTTTTTCTCCGTCAGTTGTTCCCTCTGTGGTGCCTGGGATAGGCTCCAAAACCCCCCATGACCCTATACTGTATAAACAGTAATGAACCGATGCATTTTCATATATTCATATTGGCCATATGAGTGGCGTTAAAAACAGCTGCAGTCACTCTAGTCGCCACCAGAGGTCTCCACCTGCCAGAGTGCTATAATCAGCTGGCCTCAAAACTGCAATGTTAAATCAAAGTCACGTTTTGCGATCGATATCGCTCCTGCACTATTCCCATTTCGGATGGCGCTGGGAAGCCACCAGCTGCCATTCGCTCCGGACTGATCGATTCTCAGCCTCCGGCTGAATGAAGCTGCGTTGATTGAATGTGCTTTGGCTGGGGGCTAGGGGCTAGGGGCAGGCCCGTCGATAAACGGAGGGAGGCAGCCGGCTCTGGCTTTCCGCCTCTTCCAGCCGTCGTGCCCCCCCGCGTTACCGGGAATTTGGAAATAACGGTTGTGTAGAATCCAGGTGCGAGGCGGTGCCCCCCCACCCTCACCGAAAGTGAGCCACCCCTGGGGCAGGCTGGTGAATGCACAGGCTACTCCCGGCTACAGCTTAAGGCCCCTGCAAATATCAGGACCCCGGATAAGTTAGTCGGCCCCTGGCCACCTCCGTCTGCGTCTGTCTGAATGTGAAAGATGCTTTCGAGAGGCGTCATCTAAGCTAACAGAAAACATCTGTGCGGGATTATTTGTGTCCCTCATCGCTGTGATTAATGTGAACGTGGGAGGCTCTGCGGCGACACCCCCCCGGCCCGGTCCTCACCAGCTTTCCTCTCTGCTGGGCCGATCGCGTTTCCCTCAGGGCGAACACGTTCCCGCAGACTGAGATCTCCCTCCACACGCCCGGCGCCGGCTCGCTGACGAACTCCCCGGCCGGATGCATCACCAGCACCCCGTTGGTGGTCAGGCCGTCCATCAAGCCGTCGGAAGTCCTCCATTTGGCCGCCCTCTCCTGAAGACCCGCCCCCGGGGGGACGTCCGAGGAGCACGATTGGATGAGAGTGCTAGGCAGACCCACCTCTTTATGTTCAGACACTCTGCCCTCCCCAGGCCTACATGCACCCCCACCCCCCAATGAATGAAAACACAGGAACACTTGCTTCAGTGTGGCTCCAGAGAACATCCCCGTTTCATTCATGGCCAGGGAGAAGGTCAGCCATGGACCTTTTTACACTCTCTCTACATGGGCTTGTGGAGCTTCTACAAAAAGCTCATTTTTCACTAGAGAAGAAGCCCCCCCCCCCGATTCACGGAGACTGCAGCCCCTGCCAGGGACATTCTGTGTGGGAAGCTTCATGCTGTCTCACAGCAGTCGCTCGGCAAACGGACTCTCTTACGCTTTTATTTATATCTCCTGCCTCTCCAGTGTTACACGGCGACGGCATCGTGCCCCCGGCCACTCACACTGTGGCGTGACCTGGGCCGGCTGCTGCCCGGCCGCGTTGGCAGGGCGTGCCATAACCGGCTCGGTGTTACTGAGCCGCCGGCCGCGTTCGGCAGGGCGCGACATAACCGGCTCGGCGTTACTGAGCCATTGGCCGCTCTCGGCATCGCATCACAGCCATGCGTCTGACTTACAGGGGTGCCGGAGAGGCCGTGCCTGGCCTCCACACCCCCCACAGCAGCTTCTCAGCGTAAGACACGACCTGAGCTTCACGTTCAGGGCTTTGCATGTGCAGTTCATGCTGCTCGCACCCGGCGAGCCGGTGAGGCGGCTGTTACAGCTACAGCATCACTCAGTGAAATGAATTCAGTCTCTACAATAATATACACTCTGTTCTCTCTTATTGTTAGCTTTGGAAATTATAGTTGAATTGTTATGAAGGATTATCCCATAACTCTACCTAGACTTCCTTATTTACTGACAAAAATGCTTCCTGGAGTCGATTTGGCCAGGCATTCCTATAGAAGGCAGCCCTTAGCCAACATGTTATAACATGCTATGGATTATAAACCTTTACATCCAAAATTGCCAGGTGTGGAATCTCTGCTGTAGCTGCACGCGGCTGCGTCTCCCCTGTGCTCCCCCCCCCCCCGGAGGCCGTGGGTCACTCCTACAGCTCACTGGACCAAGACTTTTGGTTTCAGGAGATTCCCTCCCCCTACACCCATGCAGCACAGCAGATAACGTCGCCCATCGTGGCTGGACAGGAACATTTTTGATCTACCTCTAGCTCAGCTGGGCCTGGCTGTTCCCCCGATACACCATCGGCTTGAGTCGGAGGCCCGGCAAATGACCAGAAAAACGCCTTTACTAATTAGTGCTGATTAGCTGGGTACTCGCAGGCAGTGCCAAGGCCTGCCCGTAGAGACAGGAGGGCTGGGGCGCTGGCGAGGACCCCGGCACTGCCTGCTGACTCCGCCCACCACTCACCCCCAGGAAGATGTTCTTGGAGGAGTCGAAGCCGGCGGCGTAGATGCGAGTGGTGTAGGGGGGGCTGCGCTCGCACATGATGCGGCAGGCGTAGCGGGAGATGGTGCTCTGAGCCGACTGCCCACCCTCCCCCGCGGCCCCCTGGCTGCCGGCCGACGTGTCAGTCACCACGAAGTCGATCATGCTTTCCGTGGAGCGTCCGATCTGGGGCCAGAACACAAGGTCAGCGATGGGTGACCGGCGAGCACGGCTCCTCCTACTTAAACCTTGAAGAGCTTTGCCCCCAATATCAGTCCCACATCCTGAGCATCCCGCTTCGATATAAACCTCAGTGCTTTCAAAGCTTTAAGCGGTGAAATACGATGATGTCATGGGAAACTCACCTGAAACATGTCTGTGTTGCTGTCATGTGTGTACTCCACGATCACAGAGTGACTCCTGGACAGCGTGTAGGAGATACTGTGCTGGCTTTTGTTGCTTAGAGCCTGCGTGGGGCAAACACAGGAGAGACCGGCATGAGTTTGGGAAACTCAAGGTTCACTGCCGCTCACCCCGGCATCCGCTGGGTTACCGATTCGACAGAAGCAAGCCCCTCACCTTAGACACCAAGGGGGTGGAGATGTTGTGTATGATATCTGGCTTGACCCCGTTGGCTTTGGGTCTCTTATAAAGAGGCAGACGGCTTCTCCTGCGGCCTTTGTCACCATTAGCTAAGGACCCGTTGTACCTACAGGGCAGACACACCCATCATCGCTGTGTCCATCCAACAAACTACCTGTCTACTGACATCCACATCAGCAAAATGTGCCACGGTGCTCAGGTCGCTTAATTGCTTAAAAGCTGAATATATTGCACACTAGGCTATTTCCTGTTTCTGTGTTTTTGTCAGTGTCCAAGTACATACAGAGAAAAGGCGAGAGCTTAAGGCAACTGACATCAGCTAACAAAAGAAAATACTGGCTGCTAATGTGCTTACAGCATCACTCTGGATCACCTACGTCACTCCAAATGGGTCCTTTATTTACACGGACAGTCTGCTGTTCTGCAGGAATCCCAGAGCACAAGTCCCCCACGTTCACTCTCCTCTGCTGGCCCATCCAGGTGGAGGTACCTACCCCAGCACGATGAGCTCCCCGTACTTCACCTGCTCCTTGTCCGTCTGGTAGATGTCGTCGTGGGGCTGGGAGCCGGAGCCCAGGGTGGGGGAAGGCTGGCTCTTGTTGCAGGACGGACGGAGCTCCAGCGAGGGGGGGGGGCACAGGGCCTCTGAGCTGCCCTCCAGTACCATTCCCACTGGCCACAACACAGACACGCAGCTGGAAGGGAGACCCAAGGCCAACACCAGTCAGAACGCACCAATCAAAATGCAGAACACAAATACTATTCCCCAGTTATGATTTGCTGGTAAAATCATTAAGACCAATTACGTATTTCTCTAAACGAATGATGCTTTAGGAAAATAGCTGTAGTATGAATTTACATTTGTAATTACCATCCATATTTATTTATTCTCTGCACTGTAACACCATGTTCTCACATGTACATTGTCTGCAAATCTGTGTCTGTCCGGCACTTCACATAAATATTGGTGGAGCAAGACAAAAAGTACCCTAAGTGTTAACAGATTAATTCATTTGGAAACAAAAATTCAGAAAATAAATTATCCTAAAGCTACATCTGACTAATGGGCTTCATCTATAAACGAGAACATTAAGATCAAAAATGAAACTTTCATAAACCGTGATTGTAGACTGCACAGTCTGTACATCAAATCCTTCGCGCGTGAAATATACATCACCAGCATTAGAAATATATGTAAAGTATGAATGTGATCTCATTTGCATAACTGATTTTTAAAAGAAATGTTACAATGTTAACCCAGTGATTTATTTGCAGATCATCACTGAGTTGCTTTGTAAATGAACATTTCATGCGTCTTAGAGGTACTCAAAAGCACTGCTCAATGCCACAATGTGAAACAGTAATAATCATTTTAACCACTGTCAACCTCTACACTGCATCTAAAGGAAGCCAGGGATTGAGGCTAGGTAAGCTGTACCAAAGGCACAGAGCTCCATCCTCCATAACTGCCTATCTGGTGCAGGGCTGTGGTGGAACCTGAAGACCAAGCCAGGATGCCAATCTTATGCTCACGGACGACAGAGGGAGGTTTAGAGCCACCGATAGACCTGAGGGAGGACAGAGGAGTATGGGCTGAAAACCATGCAAGGACATGTAAGCTGCAGGGAATCTGAACCCGCAAGCCTGGAGGTGTGAGTGCCGGCGAATGAGCCGCTGGAGGTGCGAGTGCCGGCGAATGAGCCGCTGGAGGCGCAAGTCCCGGCGAATGAGCCGCTGGAGGCGCGAGTGCCGGCGAATGAGCCACTGGAGTGCCGGCGAATGAGCCGCTGGAGGCGCGAGTGCTGGCGAATGAGCCGCTGGAGGTGTGAGTGCCGGCGAATGAGCCTCTGTGGCAGCCCTCTGGGAAGTCAAAGAAGCTGCTTCTTTGGACAGGAGCTCAGACACTGGACAGTCACAAGCACTGGAGAGACATGTGAAAATGCATTAGCACTTTATAGTGGCCCCAGTTGGGGTGGGACCCACGGTGGTGGTTGCCAGGGAACGTCTGGCTCACAGCTTCCTTAACATCTACATTTGTTTACTTTTGTCCTTTTTTAATTTGCAGCTGCTTACATCCAAAGTGATGTCCACTTCCTGGAGCATTTGGGGATTAAAGGCCTTGCTCAGAGGCCCAAAACAGAAATCTCTCTCTGCCGGACCTGGGATATGAACAAACGACCTTCTGATCATAACCACCATATCCTAACCTGCTGAAGCACACACTGCTCCCATAGCCACATCATAACCTGTTACCCTGGGATATGAACAAACGACCTTCTGGTCACAACCACCATATCCTAACCTGCTGAAGCACACACTGCTCCCATAGCCACATCATAACCTCAGTTACCCTGGGATACGAACCAATAACCTTCTGATCACAACCACCATATCCTAACCTGCTAAAGCACACACTGCTCTCATAGCCACATCATAACCTCAGTTACCCTGGAATATTATTTTTCCAGTTTTTTCACTCAAGTCTTTCTGTTGTGTGGATTGGAATGAGCCCCGCCACCCACCCTTAGGGTACGATGAGTGTGAATTTGCTGCATCTGTCAACAGTTACAGCGACAGCTGAGTCCAAGTCACATGGGACGTGGCGGAGAATGTGGGAAAAGAATAATAATAGTAAAAATTATACGATAGATAGGATGCAAATATATTTGCCATTTGTGCAAATAAACATGTATATCCCATCCATCTCTTCTATGAGACATACATGAAAGCAAAGGGTGGTCTCAGAGCTCAGGGTCAGCCATCTATCTGGAGTCCCTGAATCAGTTTTCAGGGTTAAGGGCCTCTCTCAAGGAGTCAACAGTGATATGATCACTTTTCTGGCCGCAGGACTCAAACAGACGACCTTCCGATCACGGACATGGAGTTCTACCCCACAGAGCCACACACCGGCAAACACGGTTTATTGTCCACAAACAAAACTGAAATTCAAACACAAGTGATCGACTGTGGACAAATTTTATTGATGCTAAAATGATTCATCATTTTCTTTGTCCGGAAATAACAGGTTATTTGCAACAAACTTCCCTCTCATCCTTGAATCAAGACCAGCAAATGACCACTTTTGCATGTGCGGCAAGTATTTTTTTATTTAGCATGACTTCAAAGTATTTTTTTCACCTCCATTTATTTAATCTGCACTTTAATCCATAAACCACAGACACAAAGCATCCTACATATGCTCTTTGTGCAGCAGACCCTGGCTGGTAATTCCATGATGTAGGAGTTACTAATCAGTCTCCAGCGTCTGAGTTTAAAGGCGCGATTTGTGCAGTTCTTTTAAATGTGCTTATTTTGTTCTGCAACAATGTAATGAATGTCTGGCAGAGAATAAACAGGGCTCATTTCTTTGTGTGTGTGTGTGTGGGGGGGGGCAGCTAATGAGGAGAGAAGGTGAAAGGAGGGAAGGGGGGAGGAAAAAGAACAAAGGAAGGTAGAGGGTGGGGCTTGAAAAAATATACAAAGTGAGAATATAAGCGTGAAGGGGACAAAGAGAGGGGTGGCAGGGGCGGTCTGTCTGAGTATGAAGGGTGTGTGTGTGCGTGGTGGGATGGTGTGCGAGTGCGGCACAGGGTGATGGATGGCCCGCTCTCCGCGAGGCACTTTCTAATCAACCCACTGGCACAAATCTGCGTGGGCCGGAGTAGGGGGTGCGGGGCCCCGGGTGCGCGGCCGGTAACATAAAGGCGGAGGGAGCACACGGCAAGGTGGCATGCGGCACGCAGAGGGCGGAGAGCGCCATGCAACCGCGCTTTGATAAATCCGCTGCTTCCTAATTATCCCTCATATCCCGTCTTGTGACTTCCCAGCGCAGGGACAGCGACAGATGCGGAGAAAAATAGACAGAGAGCACGGTGAAAAATGTGCGACGCCCGAAATATACGCTCGCGCACACAAGCGACGGCAGACTGAGGAATGGATTGTCAGGAAGATTTGTAAGAGCGCTCCCACTCTGCCTGCCCCAAACAGTCTGAATCAGTCACCCTCTGGGGCACCTTTAAGAAGCAGCATCTGGCGAGATGCAAAGGAGACACAACAAGGCGCAGCGGTGGTTTGCTCACTGGATCTGTGCGAAAAATTACAAGTACACAATTAATAATATACCCAATTTCCCCACAGCAACTGTTTAATGGGAACAATAGTTAAATACGACATCATCATCGGCTGCACCAGGGCCTCCCCATAGCATGGGGAGACTGTGGGAGACACCCTTAAAGCAGAGCCATCTTTAAGGCGGTGCACCAGGGCCTCCCCATAGCATGGGGAGACTGTGGGAGACACCCTTAAAGCAGAGCCAGCTTTAAGGCGGTGCACCAGGGTCTCCCCATAGCATGGGGAGACTGTGGGAGACACCCTTAAAGCAGAGCCATCTTTAAGGCGGTGCACCAGGGTCTTCCCAAAAGGGAAACTAGCCTACATAATGAAATTAAATTAATGAATACAAATGAATACATTTTTTTCATTGATTGTATGCAGCTACATTCCATCTGAATACGTTACTTTAGTTAAGCAAAGAGCTCTAACGGTACGTATATTTGTCGTGTAGTTGGCTACAGCATTTTCGGTTTGGTATGTACAATAAAAGGAATTTATACATTTACTGACATGCACAGAATTCACAAGTAGGTGCTGCAGACAGAAAACATGCTAATCGTGGCTGTGAGCTGCTTACGGCTCATGCTGGTTACAGTTGGTCGTACTCAGCAGTTTAGGAATTCAAATTTATTTGTATAGCGAGGTTTCACAACACTACATTGGCCGAAAGCGCTTTACATTGTCCCTGCCCAAAGCTCCCAGTGAGCAAGCCAGAGGCGACAGTGACAAGGAAAAACTCCATGAAAGGAAGAAACCTTGGGAGGAACCAGACTCAAAGGAGGAGCCCAACCTCCAGGGACCGGCAACATTTTGGACTGTCGGTCGGGGCAAAGCAGAAACAGCCTCTGTCTGCCAGTGGCATTTAAGGTGCTTTTCCAGGAAATTCTGACCAGGCTGATCAGTAACGGAACAGAGATGTTCAGCCATACTCTGCAGCCGAGAACACGTGATTCACAGACAGTCCCCCGGTTACCATCCCTAAGCCTGTCTTTAACTCAAATTTGTAGGTCAGTCTGAAAATAATATGGTTCTTAATAATAATACAGTAATAGTAAAAGTACCTACATACAGAGCTGAACCTCGAGCCGACGAATCTGCCGAATCCGCCTGACAAAGCGGAGCCTGTATTCATTATTACCAACCACTGTATTTAACCTGAATTTTTAATATAACAGGCTTTATAGCAGTCCGCCCTTCAGCTGGACATCTTAACCTGTGGACTGCCTCTAGTTCAATATGATTCTTATATCATAGTTTTGTTTATTTTACATAATTGTCTTGTGCAATGTGCAAATAAGCGTGTCTCAGGTTTTGTTATTCGGACCTGTCCACTGCCACACTGCAACTGTTCCCAGTGTCTTTGTAGATACAATAATAATTTAAAAACAAATTCTGTTTTCCCCGCTGAACTAAAACTGCACCAGATCATGAGTTTTATGCACCGCAAAGCCGTACTCAATACCAGACATGGGACTAAGTCATATATACACAGGCCACAACCACCTAGTTTGGAGGGACGCTCCAAGCCTTGATTCTTAGAATGGAGCAGGTCAAGTCAAGTCATGGTGATTTCTTAAGTAATTTCACCATCAGTTAACTATAAATGTAATAGTGATTAATTTAAAAAGTAGTCAATTTGTATGTTAATATTTGCATCTCCCCAAGTAAAGAGTTTGTGTAGTAAACAATTCAAATAAGTAGAGATAAAACAGGGGTATCGTTTTTATTTTTAAATAGGCATATCTGCCAAGGCACTTTAACAGTGTGCAGTAATTCACATCTACAGATTCTAATGAAAATACAGAAGTCTAAATGTTTTAAATCGTTGTCACACACACTGTATTAGCCAAAGAGTGTCTGACAGAACTGTAACTTAGCTGTAGTTGAGGATTAAACCATAATTCCTCTTCATATCTGTAAAAGTAACACTTAACTTATGCATTTACAGTCCCCACAGAACAGCTGAGTAACCTGCAAGCATCACAATTACAACTCCTCATTGCCAGGCAAAAAATAGACACAACGGTGAAAAATACGTTTCACATGATTTTATAAGACAAAATAAACGCATGTCTTCCACAATGTTAATGCATCAACAATCAGACAATTAATAAGCAGAACATTTAAAGGGAAACTATGTATGAACACATGAATAAGCAGTAATTCTGTGATGGCACAAGGCTATAAACAAGCTCTGCAGACTTTAGCCTAGTGAACCTAACCCTATAGCTTTAAGGTAGTCTGAGCTACTGTAAATATAAGTGAACAAAGTCCATTTAGCCCAGACTACCTTAAATCCAACAAGTTATCCAGCTAAGCAAGAAATGCTGCTTTGTAGAACACCCCCAGGTCCTTTTGATTGAAAAAGTAGTTTACAAATCCTGTCCTAGCTCTAAGTGTTCTTCCTGACATGGATTAGGTGCTATCCCTACTGTCAGTGTTAGAAAATCTTTAGAAAATGCAACATCACTAATATTATGCGAGCAAGAGCACTGGGACATTTAACGTAAGTACACAAGCTGCAAATGTGCACGTGTCATTAGTTATTGACAGTATACCAACCTGTCTTTATGGGTCTTGAAATGTCAAATGAGATGCAAAGTTGTCATGAATGTCACATTTTTGCACAAGTTTCACGGACTGCTTTTTTAACTTCATCTGCACAATAACTTGTATAAGCAAAGTTATTCATTCCTGGGATCAATGCCCCTATGGCTAATTCAGCTAGGCCGCTGAACTGACTCAAATGACTGAGCAAATGACTCCTGTTGCCTGTCATGTGGGCGTGTTACGGGAACAGGGGCAGAG